GACAGGTGCACGCTACAAGCTGCATCGTCTGTCAAGGGAGAAAGGGTTACCCTGTCTCTTCTGGGGAGACTCGTGCCTATGTTGTGTGAACAACTCTGCACGAGCACCTAAGGAGGCTTACCTCCCTAATAGCCCGTGGTGGCGCGTACGTACATCTACTGAGATGTACGAAGGGATTGACAACCTGAAATCCCTTTACGACCGTGCCGGGAAGACTTTCTCCAGCGGTCCTTCTTCGGCACAGGATGTGCCGCGTCGTACTGCTCAACCAGACCCAGTACGTCAACCATCAGTTGGGAGCGGGGCTCCCAAGTATCCCAGGACGGGGGATAGCCGCGCCACCGGACGAGATAACTCGTCCGACGTCCGTTCACGTCGCGGTGGTTCAACAGCTGCTCAACTAGATAGCGCTGGCCACCGCGAGAGTCCTCTAATGGAGGTGGAGAAGGAGGGAAGACGCTCTATACACTATCGTGGGGAAGCGTGTGTTCCCGAGAGCTTCTTTGATCGCGTAACGCAAGGGTTACGCGACGATCTCGAACATGAGCGGAATAGGCGTCTCCAAATGGCGAACACTGTCTCGAAGCATCGAGCTGAGTTTGCCTTTGCTCAGCTTGAGAACGAGAGATCTCTGACATCTCTTCGTGACGAGCTAAGGGTAGCTCGTGGGATTGTTGATCGGTCTCGGGATGAGATAACTGCTCTTCAGACCCTTGTCGATGCCCACCATCGGGAGCACAAGGCTCTCTGTGAGATGCTTGAGCGCAAGGGAGTTCTTCATCGGAAGAAGCAGCGTACTGATGGTACGACTTAAGCCGACCAACGTAAAACGTGGCAACTCGATCGTGTATGCATTGCCTAGGCGGTGCAATACCCGAATTGGACCGATGTACTTGGGTAGTAGTTTACTACTACCCAAGTTAGTCACTACATGATTTGGTAGGTTAATCGTAGACAGTAGGACTAAGTCATCTTGACTAAGAAAAAGTGTGTGCCCTTCCATTCTTGTCAGCGCTTTGCTTTTGCTTATCCACCGCTTCGGCGATGAAGTCTTGCACAAAACGGACTACCGTTTCACGAGCCAGTATGAACTCATCTGCTGACTCCTTAGCTTCAGTGCGCTGTGTGTGCAATGCAGAAACATCAAACCTTTTCTTCAGTGAGGGCTTCCGCACTCTCACTGGCATCGTCTTCTTCGAAATCGATGTTGTCGATAACGGCACCAAACGCAATGACCTCTTCGTCAGAGCGTGATGAGCGTGAACCAAATCGTTTTTTGCTCACGCGAGCCCCCCCCTTTAACCAGAAGTACACTCTAGTAAGGTGGGTACACGCGGATGGCGTAAGCCATTCACGTAAAACGGTGTATTTGTCGTGGACGCACACACCGAGTTGTTAATGGCAAACTCTACCATTGGCAAAAATTCAATCGAAATCTTAAAGGAGTGTACGTATCCTCGAAGTATCTCTTCGAGGACACGATTGGCACGTTCCGTCTGACCATCTGACTCTGGATGATCAGATGTCGACATCTATAAGCGCGTTCCGAGTGATTTGAACACGGAACGCCAGAAATCAGCTGTGAATCTTGGGTCTCTGTCTGAAACGAGTTCACGGGGCAACCCATGAAGTCGAAAGATGGTGTCGATAAAGACACAAGCACAGCCACTTGCCGTGATTGACTCTGGTACATCCACTAGGTGTACCATTTTGCTGAATCTGTCAACAAATACGAGAATACCCGTATTTTCGCGTGCGTCTTTGGGTAACCCGAAGACAAAATCCATTGAGATGGATTTCCAGCACTCAGCCGGAACCGGTAGAGGCTGTAATGGTGCACGCAGTGAAGGACTTGACTTCACTCGTTGACAGACTTCGCATGCGCGAACATGCTTTCGCACAAACTGATACTGGCGGGGCCAGTAAAAGTCTCGACTCACCGTGAGATATGTTTTCTCCCGGCCACGATGTCCTCCTATAGGAGCATCGTGATACTCGAACATGATCCGCAAACGCAGATCAGTATCATCTGGAATGACAACACGTGGTGTGTCACCAGAAACGGCTGTATAATACAGTAAACCGTTGCGAGTAGTGTATCGATCTGATGCAGATCGATACGCAGACGATAATCGTTTCAACGATATTCGAGATGGCTGTGAGAGATGTGTCAACAACTTCACTATCTCACCATCTTGGGCGTATGCCCGCCTCACATCATCATGTAATGTTGAAGATGATATTGTGGACGTCATAACCGCAACAGTGGCTGCCTCACTGTTGGGTTTCACGACTGTTTCAAGGTCGGGACGACGTGAGAGTGCATCAGCAACGACATTAAGTCGTCCTGGTTTGTACTCAACCGTAAAGTTGTATTCCGCAAAGAATGACAACCACCGCGCCATTCGTTGTGAAAGGTGCGGGCTGTTCACTGCCGTGCGTAATGACGCATGGTCAGTGTAAACAATGAAGGGTCTATCTCCTAATAGATAGACTCTGAACTTCGCGAGTGCATACTTCATGGCAAGAAGTTCCTTGTCATGCACTGGATAGTTCCGCTCAGCTGGTTGCAGCTGACGCGACTGATAGCAGACGACGCGTTCAACGTCTTCAAGATCGTGCTGCATTAATGCACAGCCGATTGCGAAATCGCTGGCATCACAGACCACATGAAATGGCCTGTCCTGATCGGCTATTGCTAGGACTGGGGATTGTATCAAGCTCTGCTTGATACCCTCAAAGGAGCGCTGACATTCATCGTTCCATAACCACCTCTAGTTCTTTTTCAACAAACGAAAGAGGTGTACAGTCATCACGGCGTAATTGCGTGATTACTTATGCAAATACGCCGCTAGCCCAAGGAATTTTCGAAGACCTTTGGCATCGACCAGCACAGGCCAGTCGGTGATCGCCATGATCTTTTCGGGATCAAGACGTACACCGTTCTTACCAACGATGCACCCAAGAAGTGGTATTTCGCTTGCTGCAAATATACACTTCTTGAGGTTTGCATACAATGGTGCTTTCGCATGATTGTAAGAACCTGGCGGACGTGGTACCTGTGAACCTCAACGTCCGACTTTCCATCCATAGCCCGACTATGGATGAATGCGTCATCGAAATAACTCGGCGCGAATTCTCGTACCGGTCTCAACAGATGTGATACACATCTGTTGAACGTGGCAGGGGCATTACTAAGCCCTTGTGGCATTACTAGCCATTCCCAGAGCATGCCACTAGGCGTGCTCACTGCGGTATAAGGTATATCCCGTTCTCGCATAAGGATTTGATAGAAGCCATCCATCAAATCCATGGACGAAAAGATGGTACTCTTTGACATACCATCAATGATTACGTCCTTCCTTGGTATCGGCGTCTGAGCCGGTACCGTTGCAGCATTCAACTTGTTACATGAATGCACTATCTGCCACTCTCCTGTTGCTTTTCGCACACAGAAGGTCGGAGAGTTATGTGGAGAAGTTGACTCCCTCACATGGCCCGCAGCTAAACGATCGGCAAAGAACTTGTCGATCGCAAGTACTTGTTCACGAGGCAGTGGCCACTGCTTCATGACACAGTACTTCGAGCCTGGTTTAAGCTCGACCTCGTGTCGAATACCTTTATCCTTCGGTAACTCGCACGGAACAGTTTCAGGGAATACATCCTTGAATTCAACCAAATCTTCATAGAGAGGATTTTTCTTGAGCGATTTCCACGATTGGGAGTCATATCGCTCAACTCGTGTCTTTTCATCTAAGACACTCTCGTCCATAGATGAACTACTGAGAACTCTCTCGCTCTCAGTGAACACTGTTGCTGACCTTATGTAGGCTACACACTCGTCGTCAGCGACGAGTACGCAGATCTGCTTGACTTTGCCACTACGCAGATCACGCAAGAACCTTTTATGTTCGAGCGTTGGCAACTGAGTGATCTCCGAAGTCAACTTCGGAGGCGCAATCAGATCAAGTGTATAAGCGCCTATACTTGATCCGTTATTGACTATGACAATCAATGTCTCTGTAATTTCCTGGGGACTTATTCCCTCAGGCCTCGAAGGACTTATTCCTTCGGCTTCCCGGGGACTTACTCCCGCGGGTTTCGGGGAACTTATTTCCGCCGTATTTGTAATATCGGGACTTATTCCCTTAACTTCCTCTAGCTGTGGTTGCGCAACCACAGCGAGATCCTCTACGAAAGACTCTCCAGTCAATCTAGGATTATCGATTCGCTTAACCTGGGCGATCGATTGTTTCTCTTCTAGATGTTCCCCGCTAGGGATATCGATTTGTCCCGGTCCACTCGACTTATTCGAGTGGTGGACCTTCGGCGCAGCCTGTGTTTCCTCACATCCGCCGGAACTTTGCTCCGGTGTGTAACCGTTTGTTACACTAAGGTTTTTTGCAGTCGTACTAACGACCGTACCACAAGTGAGGCCATCGCACTCACTTGTAGTACATCCACACGCTTGTGAAAGCTCCAAAACGTTCATCAGATGGCCATCTGATGAACAAGCGGCAGGCATCGTTACTGTTCGATGTTGCCAGTTAGCCCGTGGTTCGTACCTTCTGAGCCACGGTATTCCAAGGATGACATCAAATTTGTCATCCAAATCCAATACGACAAAGTCATCGTCGTATTGGGTATCTTGTAGCGTATAGTGAATCTTCACTATACGCTTCATGACGGTTACGGATGCGCCTGTCCCAAGACGTACCGTCATCCTCGTAGGAGGTATGTCACATTCACTGAACTTAAAGTGACCATCTTCTAGCGATTGGCGTTGCGCAAGATTGTTGGACGCCCCACAATCGACTAGAGCTCGAAGGGACAACTTATTCGTCACTTCAAGTTTCAAGGTAATGAGTGAGATCTCATTACCTAGAGCAGCAACGCACAACGTTTGTGTGTTGGAAGCAACCTTCATCAAGAGGCCCACAAATTCTCTTGACGTTGCTGGACCAGTAGGGTGCTCCGCACCTACTGATCCTGTCCGTTTTTTACGATCCATCCCGTTGTTGCGTCTTTGCACCAACAGCGGACCCGCGTCCATGCCCCTTTCTCATGGGTGGACGGTCACTACGCCCAGTGTTGCGAGACACTGGACGAGGGGCACTACACTCGTAAGCGTAGTGTCCTGTCTTCTGACATATGTTGCGTTTCTGCAACTTCTTGTAGTCTGTAGAGCGAGTCTTCTCGCTCTCTACATAACAGAGTTTCATCGGCTTTGGACCTCCGCTGTCATATCGTCTCGGTTGACGATATGATGTCGAGCTGGCGCGAGCCTGTCTCAGACTGAAGTCTTCCTGTTCTACAATGGAAATTGCTTGTGCTAGTGAATCTAGTTCAAGCCGGAACAGGTGAGTCTTGACGGGACCATCCGCAAGACCATGCATGAACACCGAAAACAACGTGTGTTCATCCACCGGGTTGGAACTTATACAACTCGTGAGATATCGTATATGTTGCGCGTAAGCGTGCACATCACGCTTACCCTGCTTGAGCTTCAAGAGTTCGGTTCGAGCTCTGAACTCAGCTCTAGGCGGCTCAAACGTTTGTCTGAGCCGCGACTTGAAGACTTCCAACGACCCAAAAGCATATGAGTCGTGCAACTTGAGCCCCAGTGCCCAAGTCTTGGCACGTCCTGCCATATTTGACTGGGCAAATGCAACTTGCATATCCCCGTCGTCGATGCGACGCGCCCTTATGGCGTCATCCAATTCGACGAATCATCTCAAGAGGGAGTCCTCTTCGACTCCCCTATACTTAAAGATGTCAATCTTCAAAGTCTCGGGTCGACGCGAGTGCATCGACCCACCAGCAGCAGCCTGTTGCTGTCTCAACAGTTCAAACTGTTGAGCACCCTGTTCTATCAACAACTCTGCTTTTTGAGAACCTTGTTGGCGAAGCAAGGCTACTTTCTCGCGTTCTGCGTCAAGTTCATTTTGAATGAACTTGGCGATAGTAGCATGTTGGGCATCTCTATTGAGAGCCTCTAGCATGACGCTAACAGCATGGATGCCCATGGTTGAACCCATCCGTTCAACCGCATCCCATTCGACATCGCTCAAATGGGAGTAGCCGTCACGCGTAGCGTGAAAGCTTTGCTCATCTTCATCATCTAACATATTCATATTAGATGTGAACGTGGTCTTTGGACGGACTACGAAGTGCTACCAGGTGTAACGGGGCACCCTCAAGCTTGAACTGATGACAGTACAAGCTACTTATTCTGATGACAGAATAAGGCGGTGCCTCGTAACTTCACGTACACTGGTACGTGCAGAGGAAGACGGTAAGAAGAAGCGAGTACTTGGTTAAAGTAAAAAGTAGAACTGTATTTATCATAGTTAATGTCTGCAATAAATCACTATTTATCTTCATCTAACTATGTCTAAATACAAATGTGTAAATGAAATATCTGCTTACCACTCATTGCGTGCGTCCGTCGTGGCGCGTCTTCGTTGGTTGATATAATGGCGTATATCAACCAATTAGGAACTACTCGTAAGTGCTGCAGAATATTTGTCCTTACGACAATATTCTGAGAATATAACTCTTATAGTTATATTCTATTAACAATTTCTTATAAATTGTTATGTAACGATTCACCCCGTTACATGTAAGGTGCTTTACCGCGCCACTGTGTTTATCAAAAGACAGACACACACAGAAAAGTACGGTTTAAAAGCTCGGCATTCAACCTTGCGCACAGTCACTAATAGCGTCACCCTTCGAGCTCGCAATCACAATGAGCAACGTCTCCCATGTATTTCAGCGGCACTACAGAACAATGCCGTTAAATACAGACTCGTTGGACAAAAAGCTTGTTGTCAGTTGCACAGTTCCTTCAGCGACGTGCATCTATTTCGAGTGGCAGAAAGCATTTGCCAGGTGACCTCCATTAACGGACATGTCGACATATGGAAGATGTCAGCATGAGTTTTTTAAACTTTCCTATGTGCGCCATAAGCGAGACGATTTCTGCGCCTCGAATGCGTCTCGTACTAATCCTCTTCGATTATAGGCAGGTTGCTCATCAGGCCTGCACTATACGACTCGGTAGCGATGTTTCCGTTGATGAGCTCCCGTTGGCGAGTCACCCACATTGGCCACAACTATGTGTGATTTAGCATCCGCGTTTGGTAATAAGGATGTTAGTTGCGTGCGAATGCATCGAACAGCAGGGATCCAAACAGCGGCTGCATTCCGCTCGCTTTCTAGGCTGAAATCATCCAGCTGCCGAAACTCTTCGTGTACGAGACGGATTGTCCTCTACATTCAGAGGACTGTAATCCTTGGCTGTGAAAGGCGACAGCTTGCCTCTTGTTTTTCTAGCCATGTCACCTAACGTTAAGAGAGCTATTCAGCAAATGACGACATTCGTACTCTTGGCACGCCGTTGAGCAATTGGCGTGTGCAATCTCATGTGTCACAAGACTTAGTGTGCTGACCTGGTTGCAGCGAACGTTTTTCACCTCATCCCGGAACGCGTGTAAACTTCTTTTCCGGTTATGATCGATCTCAAGCACATGCTTCCACATTATAATTATACTAGGCTCTACTCGTTTGCGCTTTGATCTAGTCAAGCAAAATCTGGGATAGGATGTTCAGCATCTCGGGATTCCAGGGTGCAGTGCACGCGGTCTTGAACGGATCAGGCATCTCCAGCTCGACCGCATCCAACATCAACTTCCACGAAACGCCGACCCATTCGTGATCAATACCCATCGGACTGTCGCGCATCGGTGAGACACCGTACTTTTGGCTTGTAGGAGTGCTGCAGATTGAGCTCAACGAAGGAGAAACAGGGGTTATCGACTCGAACTGCCCACGCTCCTGTTCCGTGTGCTGGTTCTTCAAGTGACGGTTGAGGTTGCCAGTCGTGCTGAACGACTTTCTACACTTGGACACCTTGCACGTGTGTGTCCGGGGCAAATAGTGCGAACGCATATGCTTTGCCAGCTTGATGTCGCTCATGAACTTGCTGGAACAGTTGGTCACCGGGCAGTGCACGGGCTCAATTGCACCGTGAAGACGCATGTGTCGGGACAAGTTCCCTGATGTGCTAAACCGCTTACCGCAGCCGCGAGCGCGACAGACGTGCGGACGCTCGCCAGTGTGCGTCTTCATGTGCTCCGTAAGCGTGTACTTGCGGTTGAACCGACGTCGACATCGAACGTATGGGCACTGAAAAGCTTTGGTGTTCGGGTGCGAGCACGTGTCAGCAGATATCACAAGAGTGTCGAGCTGGAAGTGGCGCTGCATGTTTGGGTCCATCGGCAAGCGAAAAGGTGACAATGGGGTTGGCAAGTGTGGTGCGCGAAGAAGAGCTTCGGATGTACCACGCAAATGGAATAATGACGTCGGCTCCGATTCGGACGCAGCAAGAGTGCGAGTGCCGCGAGTGGGTTATTTATGCAAACCGCATAAGTCTATTTCCATACGCGCGCTTGACGTCGGACAAACACACAGGATGGACATCTGACGGAACTCTGCATGGACGATTTGATTCTCAACGGCTCATTCGTGGCGGCCGCGCTAATTAAAGCTGTTTGTGTCAGCTTATCCAGTCCATATGATGTTGATGTGGTTGCTGTCGAGACAACTCGGCGGTGTCGTTTTGAATACGAAACAAATTAGCGACTGCAGTTCTCCGAGCCCCAAATGCTTTGATCGTCGAGGTGTATTTTTGGATAGACGCAACTTCGACATTTCTGACCCGGCTCGAGTAACCGTTAGCGGTTGTTGACACATCTCTTTGCCACCACTACTTAGCTCCAGGTTCGCAACGTAGTGCGAGTCAACGTCAAGTACTTGGTGGATCAAATCCAAAGGGTGAGTGAGGCACCTCTTGATGAACAACTTGTGCTCGATGCCCTATATATCGATACCGCGATGTTCGGATTCGACTATGGCACTCGAGGCCGCACTTCCAGATAGCTTTTGTTACTTCACCAACACCTTTGGATACCTTCCAGGTTGCTTATCGAACAACCAACGACCAGCTGCAGTGTTTTCTCGTTTTCTAACTCACGGAACTTGACGTTGTTATTGTCACCTCGTTTCCCATCTGTGCCCTGCATCTAAGTAAATTCCTGATCTTACCTCCCATTGATTTACCATGTTGCTTGATCTCGCAAAATTAGGGAAAAGAGTAGTCTTGAATGCCATCGCTTTGAGTAGCACAACGCACTTTTCAGAGTGTGAAGCCGTCTTACAGCTTCGTAGCGCACATTGTCAGGCAAGCGAACAACGCAAAGGGGTCATTATCGTATGGAAGTGTTGCGTTAGTGTGGCCAACCGCTACAGTCCACGCACCTCGAGTCGGATTTTCCCAATAGAACCTACTTTCTCAACATCGAGCTGCTCGTGCTTGATATAGGTGCCTCTTCTGCTGCATATCTTCTCCATGTGTCGTAATGCTTCCAGCGCTTTGCCAGCATCACACAACGCCGTATCGAGGATACTCCTGAACTTACTCGGTTCACCGAGTACTATAACCATTGCAGTTGGGATAGAAACGTCGAGGTCGCCACTTCTGTGTGGACAATCAGTTTGCTGCAAGGTGAGCACGGTGTGGTATTCATGTCGATTGCCTCGGTGATTGGGCGCACATAAGATAGCCATGACAAGCCGACGATACGTTGCCGGGATTGACGTCCGACATCCCATGCTTATCAGGATCGACTGTAGGTATAGTTGATAAAGCCGTGATGCAAAATGACCAACAAAGCGATAGTGTTGCTCACGATCACGAAGCCGATCGATCGATGATTACCTGGCATAGGAACACTACTCCTTACTACAATAACAGACCACCACGCAACTGACCGCTTTCGTTATCGTGATCACTGTAAAGCAAGGTCCATGTTGTCATATCTGCGCTCGCTAGGACTGTAGCCTACTTAGTATAGCTGCCACTATAGAATATCGCGCGTTCTGTTTCGACAGGGCCGATGTCGAGCAGTGCAGTAACCAGCCAAGTGTTGACGGATTGTAATATGGAGGTCATGCCCGCGCGTGTAAAAGCTTTTTCTTCGAGAAGCTCAGGTGAATTGAAGCCAGACCTGATAAAAAGTATTGGAAACAGTTTGCTTGTCCGTCAGTATTTGGTAGGACGTTCGCTAACAATACTGCTCGAGTTACTTGTAAATGGTTACATGAGCTGTAAAGATGCAGATGCTACAAGACACATTATAGATTGTCGGATGCAAGGCTCAGGTCGAGTTACCTTCGCAGGACAACTTCGTCAACAAAACGAATGGTTGATGCCATCGGAGATGAGTCTTGTGTGTAAGCTCAAAGCAATAGCCGAAGGCACACACACGAGCTTAATGCTGTTATTGACCATGACAAGCTTCAGTATGAGCATGTACTGTGCACATACCCATCCACCGAAAGCTGTAACAAGTACGCTTACGTACAGAAACTGAAAGCTGCGATGACGTACAACCACTGGTTGCAAGCAGTTTTATGATCGTAGCCGCATCGCAAGCTGACCACAACCTGGCACAAACGAAGGCAACCATGAAAATGACGGGCAAGTGGGTGGAAAGATACTGCTTGATCAGCTTCAAGAAGAACATCGCACGTTTATCATTGCGATTTAGTGACAGCGTAAAGATCGTCCATGAAAAGGTAGATGAACGAAAAGAGGGAGCTTGGCTAGTAGTAGCTCAGCATGAGTACTTCACATGGACATCGAGTGTACCAACGATACGCTAGCCATAGACAATTCATTCGGCAGCCGAGTTTATCCCTCGCCCAGAAGCACCTTCACTTTTTCTTGTCCCATAAAGTGCAACCGTGGGCTGAATGTTTTCATCCTCAGTGTTAACATATTGAATTCACGCGTACCACTGCAACAGCCGAAACAGTCTTTTATACAGTAAAGTCGGTAGTCGTTCCTCTTTCGTGTTCCCTCTTCCGGGCTTTTACCAGCAAACGTTGAAACATCAAGAGATTCGTCCGTCCAGTTCTCCGCTCAGGCAGAGTTAACAGATTGTTAGTGTCTTGGATATAGTGTAATAACCGTGATACTGTCACATTCGCCTCACTCACCGTAAGGAGAGGCGGATCGTCGCTTTTGATGCTTTCCAGTACCAACGCCCTTTGCGTATCGCCAAGAAGTCCTTGAGAAGCCAAGCTTTCCACAACAATCTCATCGTCTTTCGCAACTTCATCAGTGCCAGTAGTTTCGGACTTGTCGAAATCGAGCAGCTCCATCATAAATTGACCAGGGTCATCAGTACAATCGAGTCCAAGAGCACTTCGAAGCGCTGGCACTTTTTCTAGCTGAGCTAACAGTTCCGTAAAAATCAGTATATCATTTTCATCACACATTGATGCTGAGGGTTCGATATCCCCAGGAACGACCGCAGGCAAGTACAAGCTTGCTGACCACGCCTGTCGGATGAACGATTGCGGTATCGACTCCCACGCTGTATGGAGCCACATCAACGTGTTTCGCATGTGAGTGTGTGCGTGGACATCAAAGACGTCATCTACAGTCGACCGATCACCAGTCGTTGGTCTGTGCCTCTTTCGGCCGCTTTCAATGGCCTCTGCCCACTGTTCGTGCTCGCGAAGTAATGTCTGCAGCATCTCACGACGAAATCGCAACTTAAACGACCTAAGAATACCTTGATGAAGAGGCTGAGCATCGCATGAAGGACCGGGAGGTACAAACAACAGCACGATCGATTCAAAGCTGAAGCTATTTCGAAACGATCCTGACGGATTCAGCGCATGAGCAGCAGCAATGTGTGCAGTACGGCTGTTCAGCACCAAGTACCACACCTGCTTTCTCGTTACTGCCTCTTGGTTCATGGCGTGAATGAAATCAAGTATCGCTTGCGCATCGTGTGCAGCTTGACAATGGTCACGGTACTGAGCACCGTAGCTCGTTAACGGATCAACGTCCTTCAATGAGTCCGGAAGCGGGTCTTTTCCAACGACTTGCAAGTACAGTTTCTCACCAGATGCACTCAGGACCATAGCAACTGAGATATGCTCAAGACTTCGTGCGTCCATATTAACAATCGAGTCCAACCTGGCCGAGGTCGTGCGATGGCGCAGCACCACTTCGTCGAGATTCCATATACACGTCGGGCTGACTGTCAAGAGCAAGTCACGAACTTTCTGAATACGTTGATCAAAGTTCAGTCTTTCCGTTAACATCGCATCACCTCCTGCCTGTCCTTGCAATCTCGACAGCGACCGCAGGCTGCGTCGCTGCATGTATCGATGCAGCCATCCATTCGACGCTTTAAAGTCCGTGAGCGACATGATCACGTCATCCGACAATTCGCTACTATAATCTGCCAAGATCTTGTTCCGAAACTCCATAGCTTTCGACTGCAAGAGCTCCCCCGTGATCTTTAATGCCGGTGCGTCCACCTCGGTCTGCAACTGCCACTTGTGCAGCATGTCTTCAATCACACTGAGTTTGTGCTGATACTGCAGCACTTTGCGAGAGCTCGTCACGTTCTCCACCAGCGCTTGAGCCGAGATCGCCGCGCGTTCCTTCACCATCTTGGTCACTGCAGTCCGCGAGACGCCAAACTTCTCAGCAGCAGCTCCTTGAGATCCACCTCGATCCACAAATGCCAGAATCTCCATCTTCTCGAGATTCGTCTTGCGAACGCGACGGCCTTTTCTCGGTCTCGAGTCAACAGCAGCAACAGCAACAGCAGCAGCAGCTTCAGTACCCACCGCTTCGACCGACATCCTCGTCGCTGGATCTTCTGCTTTCATCACAGTATCATCCACTTGCGGCACTTCCTTCAATACCATTCCCAGCAGTGTCCTGGAATCAGATCCAACATCTGAGTCGATACTATTCAGAGACGACCGGGACGGGCTGTTTGCTCCCCGCTGTTTCTTGACGTGAACAAGCGACAGGCCATCGGCTCCGTCCGCTTCGTGTCCTCGTACCTTCCCTGGAGCACTGGAGAGATGCGATGACGCAGCGAGACGCTCGTGCTCCGCGTCAGACGAGCGCCCAGCGGGCGGTGCGAAGGCCTTGCGCTTCTTGCTGTCCATTTGGCTCGAGTGATTGGCCAAGAGCGCGAGATTAGTGACATTGATGGATAAGAGCACAAAGTGGCATAGGAGCAGTTTTTGAGGACGGATGTAAGAACATGTTGGGTCACATGCACGCTGATTGGTGGAAAAAGACGATCGATCACGGCCACGTGAATACCGTCCGTCATGTGGCACTGCCGAGCAGGTCGGCGACGCGCTCTGCGCGACGTCGCTAGCACGTACCGACGCGAAAGTGAGACGTGTACAATCAGAACGTCGTTATCTAGTCTGTATGGTACATCTACGTGCAACTCCCGGCTTCGTACGATGCGTGTAGTCTCAGCAAAAGCGCCTTGGGCGTCGTCATTCCGGCCCTTAGCTACTCTATCTCATTGTAGAGACTATAACACCCATACAAAATCTCTGTTGGTAGCAGAAAACAAGCAGAAATGGCTAGACCGTTGCCGAGTATCTGGACGCAGCTATAGCAGCGTTGAGAGCATTTACCAAAAGAAGACGCCACTGGAGCATGTTTTGCTTCGTCCAGGTATGTACATTGGCTCGGTGGAGCCTACAAAGGACAATTTGTGGATGGTTTCCGCTGATTCTGCTGCTTTGGAGGGAGGTGAACGTGTACGGATGAAGCAGCAGACGGTCGAGTACGTGCCTGCCTTGTACAAGATTTTTGACGAGATTATCGTGAATGCAGTGGACAATAAAGTCCGTGACCCGTCGATGCGACATCTGGACGTAGTAATTGATCCTGGCTGCAAAGAGAATGGGTACAGGTCGTGGATTTCAATTTACAATGATGGCAAAGGAATTCCGGTGGAGTTCCACAAGACGGAGCAAGTCTATGTGCCGGAATTAGTGCTAGGTCATTTACTGACGGGATCGAACTTTGACGATACGAACGCAAGGCTCACTGGTGGACGGCATGGATACGGTGCCAAGTTGACAAATATCTTTAGTGACGAGTTTGTCGTGGAGACAGGAGATGTGTCGATGGGGTTACGATATAAACAGGTCTGGCACAACAATATGCGCTGTCGCGGGGAACCGGAGATTACGGAGTTTGTAGGCGAAATCGCAAAGGATTTTACGAAAGTGTCGTTTTCTCCCGATCTGGAAAAGTTTGAGATGGAGAAACTTAGTGTGAGTATGGCGCGTGTACTAAAGAAACGGGTGTACGATGTGGCTGGCTGCTTGACAGACGTGGAGGTTACGCTAAATGGCAAGAAGGTGCCAATTTCCGGCTTTGAGTCTTACATTCAGGCTTTCTGTCGGTCCACTACGGCGGCGCCTGCTGTCAAGACTAATAAGCCAAGCAGTGTAGTGAATAGTAGCGGGGACGCAACATCGTCTGGTCCAAACTACGTATATTCCCGTATAAACAAACATTGGGAAATTGGCGTGCTGCCTTCTGACGTGGGCTTTGTTCAAGTTAGCTTTGTCAATGGTATGTCGGCACTTCGTGGCGGCTCCCATGTTGGTTATGTTAGTGACCAAATTTGTCGCCGTGTTGTTGAGCGCGTGAACAAAAAGTACCCGGAGCTTTCTGTGAATATGGCACACGTGAAGCCACATGTGGCGATCTTCATTAACTGCCAAATCGAGAATCCGACGTTCGACTCCCAAATGAAAGAGTACATGACCTCGCGGCCACAGACATATGGATCATCGTGCATGCTGCCCGAAAGACTGCTCAAGCTTGTGTTGTTAGACTCTGGCATTGTCGAGCGTGTCGTGCAAAGCGCACGTGCACGACAGCGAGCAGACCTTCTCAAAAAGGTGTCATCCTCGCGCTCAAAAAGCACGTCGGTGAATGTACCAAAGCTCGAGGATGCCAACTTTGCTGGTGGACCTCGCTCTAGCGAATGCTCGTTGATTCTCACCGAAGGTGACTCAGCAAAGGCTCTAGCAGTGGCAGGTCTTGCAGTGGTTGGGCGCGACCGATTTGGTGTTTTCCCTCTTCGAGGTAAACTCCTGAACGTGCGTGATGCGTCAATGGCTCAACTTGGTAAAAATGCCGAGTTTGCGCACCTGTGCACAATTCTCGGTCTTCGCATGGACGAGCATTATGGCACGGAAGACGCACGGCTGAAATTGCGCTACGGGCGTGTGATCGTGATGACAGATCAGGATCACGACGGCTCTCACATCAAAGGCTTGCTGTTCAACTTGTTCCACACCTTTTGGCCGGAGCTGCTCGAAAAAGGTGGCTTTATCAGCGAATTCATCACGCCTCTTTTGAAGGCGACTCCTTCGTCGAAGCGTACTGGTGCTAAGCATGACCTGGAGACCCGCCGCTTCTTTAGCCTGCCGGAGTACTTTGAATGGAAAGCTTCGTTGGATCTGAGCAAGCTCAAGTATTATACTATCAAGTACTACAAAGGTCTGGGTACAAGCACTAGCAGTGAAGGACGCGAGTACTTCAGCGACCTAGATAAGCATCTTGTGGATTTTCATTGGAGCGGTGACGGTGACGGCGATGCGCTAGACATGGTCTTTAGCAAAGCACGTGCTGTCGACCGCAAGGCTTGGTTATTGAATGAATACTCTCCCGATGCTTACCTCGACACGAGCTCGGGACATGTGACGTACCGTGACTTCGTTAATCGCGAGCTCATTCAATTTTCGCATGCGGATAACGCACGATCGTTGCCATCTGTGGTCGATGGGCTCAAGATTTCGCAGCGCAAAGTGCTTTTCGCTTGTATGAAGCGCAAGCTGACCAGCGAAGTAAAGGTGGCGCAGCTGGCAGGCTACTGTAGTGAACACACAGCTTACCACCACGGTGAAGCTTCGTTGCATTCGACGATAGTGAATATGGCCCAAGATTTCGTTGGCTCCAACAACCTCCCGCTGCTGTATCCATCCGGCCAATTTGGTACTCGGTTGCAAGGAGGTAAGGATGCAGCTAGTCCCCGGTATATCTTTACGCAACTTCAGAAGCACACTCGCTTGATCTTTCCCGAGGAAGACGACGTGTTGCTCCGCTATGCTGATGATGATGGTTTCCCAGTTGAGCCCGTGTACTACGTTCCTATCCTCCCGATGCTATTGGTGAACGGCGCAGAGGGTATTGGTACCGGCTGGTCGTCGTCGATTCCTTGTCACCACCCGGTGCAAGTGATTGACAACTTGATGAAGCTTATCGATGCAGAAGAAGCTGGCGAAGATTTGTCAAAAGTCGAGCTAGCACCGATGACTCCATGGGCCAAAGGGTTTAGCGGTGACATTCGTCAGACTGGCAAACACTCGTTTGTCTCACGTGGTAGCGTGCAACAGGTGAACACGTCCACGCTACGGGTTACAGAGCTGCCACTTAGCAAGTGGGTGGAGGACTACAAGAAGTTCTTGTGGGACCTCGTTGGCAAGAAAGCTATTCGGTCTTTCTCTGAGCATCACACGGATCGTGATGTTCGTTTTGACATCTCGATGGCCCGCTCGGACCTTGCTAAATACGCCGACGACGCCGCTACTGACGAAAGCAACGGCGCTGATGCTGGAGACAGTGAAGCACTAGTGAAGCTATTGCGTCTGGAATCGCCACTGAGTATCAGCAATATGCACGCGTTCAATGCTGACGGTCAGCTAAGTAAGTACGAGACGAGCGAGGACATTTTGCGCGACTTTTACAGTGTCCGGCGCGAGCTGTACGCAAAGCGGAAGCAGTACCTCGAGCAGCAGCAACAGCAGGAGCTGGTGTACCTTCGCAACCGCATCCGCTTTATCCAAGAGGTCTCGTCCGGCAGTCTGCAGCAGATTACCCAGGAGCGGTTACCGAAAGCTGCACTTCTTGCGCTCCTGAAGACGCACGGATTTTTACCGGCATCATCTTTTCAGAAGAAAGTCTGTATCGACGGTGTTGGTACGCTTGGAGTAATACCCGCTGGCGGTGATCAAGATGAGGCAGCAGCGATGGTCGACGATTGCAATGCAGAGGACGAAGAAGACTACGATTATCTACTCAACACGTCGCTCGTGAGCTTTACAAAAGAGGTGGCGGATCGGTTGCAACAGGAGCATGCGACGAAACACGCGCGATTGCACGAATTGCAGACAATGACGCCGACTCAACTGTGGCGCAAGGAACTCGGTCGACTACGCGCTCTTTTACTGCGTGATTCGGCGTTTCAAGTGTGAGGAAGAACGACGATAGAAAAAGCAGGACGAGTGGTAGTAGCAGTCGAACTGCAAAAAAAAGTATCTTTTGGCGAAAAAAAGAGCTCGTGGGACTTGTTGTTGAAACGGTCGGTCTGTATGTGGGAGCTCAGTTTGTGATTTCTGTGCTTGCGATTCGCTCAAATCCTCCGACTGTTTTAGCCAATACCATCGTTTCGTTCGCCACGCCGACGACGAAAAGGGGAGAGGAACAGGTCCCCAAAGCGCTAGTTTCGAGCGAGAAAGCAGCAAAAGAGACGAGGCAAGATTATTACTGGTCGAAATAGGGATGGAAGCGAGAGAGAGAGAGAGAGAGGGGGGGAGAGGGAGAGAGAGAGAGAGATGGCTACAGGGCGGGATGACTCCTGACGTCCCTGTGTTTACGCCAGTGTTTCTGCTTGTACCCCCTCGTGTGCCCAGCAATAGAAATGCGACCACAGAAACTGACCATTGGAAGACTGACGCTTTCTTGCTCTACTTTTGGATGGCCGTGTGTGTCTCGATCCAGTTTTGTGATATAACAGAACAAGCACCGAGTGCTCGTAGCGTGTGTCGGTTATGGCAAAACATGGCGCAGAAGTGGTGATTGGTACGTCGCTTGATGACGTGATAAGGGGTGGTGAAGCAAGCTTGGATGAGGTCTATCCTGTATGTTGTCGACTTATACAGGATACATGACTGTTGTTGTGGGTGTTGTGGTTGTCGGTAGTACCGCGTAACTTTAAGTTGCTGGAAGAGCTGGAGAACAGTGAAAAAGGGCTTGGGGACATGAGCATCTCGTACGGATTAGAGCAGGCAGACGATATTTTTCTTACAAACTGGATTGGCACGATCCTCGGTCCTCCGAACGTGAGTCGATTTTGTTTGATGCCTCGTCTTTTTTTTTCTATAGCGGTTCTTTGTTTATTATGTTATACTGTGGGGTGTTGCGCACGTTGTGTATTGGATGGGATTTATTCACGTGGTCGATCGTTGTGTATTTTTTGTGAATGATTCACTGTTGATGATTACTGTAGACGTGCCACGATGGACGCATTTACAGTCTGCGGATCCACTGCAGTGACCAGTACCCGCATATGCCACCGGAAGTGCATTTCACGAGCCGCATTCACATGAACTGTGTGGATCCCCACTCTGGCCGCGTCGATCCTCGACGACTGGCGGTGTTGGGCAACTGGCACCGGAGCAATGGCATTGAGAACGTGCTTGTGGCTATCCGTGCTGAAATGGGTTCTACTGCCAACCGACGCCTGCCACAGCCGCCCGAAGGTGCCAACTTTTGATAACGAGCCAAGAGTTCTGTCTCCGAGTGTCATCCAAGAAGAGAGATTGGAGATTGGAGAGAGGTGATGTTGATGCTGTTGTGCGGAGGGTTGTCCTGGATGGTGCAGGATGTTGTCAGTTTCTCTTAGAACGCTACATAAGGTTGAATGCAATATAGTATCGGCATAGTTGGAAGAGTACACTGGTTGCTTGGAGTCGTTTAGGCAAATATGGAGCAGTCGGTGTCCTGCTTCCACTTGGCATGCTGCACACAGACTGATACCACAGTTCACTCTCCAAGCACATTGTCGGATATGCGTTTCATACGTTGCGCGTACGCATCACAGGCGTAGTAATCCAGTTTTCTTATCCTGTCTTTTCCAGGTACTTTCCGTCCATATACACGTTACACCCCAATAAGCAAATACAGTGTAGAGTCGATATCCATTCATTCCTCCATACGTCTCTTTTTTTGGCAACAGTAAACGTTCCAATGGACGACCCACAGCGTCTCCATATATTTAACTTACCGTAAAATACAATCAAACGAAAATGGAAGGCGACGATGGTACAGAAGGTGTGCTCACGGACGTTGGGTTCATGTTTGACGCGTGCTTGGAAAAAGTGACATGTCGCTATGATTACGGCGAAAATGGAGGCAACGACGTGTCCGTGTTGCTCACGTATACAAAAGACGAGCCAGGGGCGTTACAAAGTGGTCATTACGTCTGGCCAGCTGCACCGGCTCTATGCCAATACCTCGTGACCCACCAGGAGATCATTTCGAAGGGTGCCAAGGTCGTGGAATTAGGGGCTGGATGTGGCCTCACGGGCCTCGCTGTCGCCCAGCTTCAACCTGATGCAATTGTGACGTTTACCGACCATGACCCGGGTGTGCTTAGAGGTGATTGAGCACAATGTGCGGCAACAGGAACGAAGACAAGCCACGTGCTTTACACAGAGTCTACGGTGGGGACCCGATGGTGTCAAGGAGATTGAAGCACTAGAGCACGTGCAGACTGGACAGGTGGATGGGGACAATGCTCGAGGGACGCAGTTGATTGTCGCGTCCGACGTGATCTACGCGCAAGAAGTGGTGGTACTGCTCTTTTGGACGGTCGATCGACTCTTGTCGATTGATGGCGTGTTCCTCATGTGCTCGAGCTTTCGGTATGATGATGAGACGGAGAACGAGATTGACACGCAGAGTCTCAAGTGGGGACTCGAGAGAGAGATTATCGAGTGTTTACTGGACGAAGGAGGCACGAGGATTCAGCGTTTTACGCGAAGAAAGTGAGAAAGAGACGAACACTGAAGCTGATGTGGCTAGTGTGAAGCGATAGAAGGGCATTACGTTGCCAGCGGGAACGATGCTATGTCGATAGCGATGGAACACGACGTCAATCGTAGAGCACACCTATCGACACGTCAATGCTACAACGCCAAAAGTGGTAGTTTCTTTCAGCTCGTGCACTCCTTTCGAAGCGCTGCAAATGCGTAGAGCTGGTGTTGGACGATGTACTCCAGTACTGCTGGATCCAAGTATGCTGCCAGCTCGTCGCGATCAGCTGTAGCCCTTACTCGAGTAGACGACACGCTGCTGAGCTCTGGTATATGAATGCATCTTACATTGGCTGATTGCCTTGGCTGCTCTTCTGTTCGCCACGGCGACTCGACACCTTTACGATCCACGACCAAGAACTTGACCAACTGCATGAGCTCGTCCCCCCTGTTCCACTTGCCAGCTAGCAAATCCGCATACGTGTCTCCACCTAACAGCATTGTAAAGTTCGTGTCCTGGTATTTGCCCAGGAGGTAGAGTACGAGATCGACACTGCCAAGACGAAGCTCATCGATACGCCCGATATATTTTCGAGTCGCAGCCACGTGCTCGAACATCTCACGCTCTTCTTCCACCACTTTCAGCTCGGCACCATCCTCTTGCTCTCTCTTGAGCGTCTCTAATGCCAATCGACACATTTCCACGCGATGCTCGAACGGCGCAAGCTCTCGCTTGGTAGAATAAACGTGCTGAAACACAGGTACTAGCCAAATTTCGTCGTAAAACGCACGGCAGTGCTTCACCACACCCATGTGGCCCGTAGTTCCTGTTGGCGGGTTCGCTGACAGTCCAAAGAGCAGCACTTCGCGGGTCCGATGTACAGACGTCATCGACGTTCTGAAGAGATCTTCACTCCCAGAAGTCCTCCCAGTAGCAGTTACGAAGTAGGTGAACGTTCGTGATAACCAGCTGTTTTTCGGAATTGGTTGGCTGGGAGCGCTTGGAAGTAAATGAGACTGGTACTGCAGCGTGTAACTAGCGCCTCGGTGTGTGTAACTGGTGAGACGGTGGGCCAAATTGGGCACGGATTGCTCTGCTTTGTCGGAATTGGTCATGACGACACGGACGAGGACGCTGAGTGGTGCTGTCGCCGTCTGCTGGTACACTTTTTTGATCATGTTGTGGTGATTGCCGAAGGGAGCACCGGAATTCAACGAAGTAGCTAAGTTTGTGGGCCTTTTGTTACCGACAGAACGCTCGACTGTGGCCTGATGAGTCTGGAAAGCCGTGGAAAGCGTCGATTAAGAGTCAGGGGTACGAGGTGCTGCTGGTGAGTCAATTCACGCTGCACGGACAACTGGTGGGCAACAAACCCGACTTCCACCTCTCGAGTACGACCTTTCGATCTGCTATATCCTGACTCTGTCTGGTTGAAGGTGTGAGTAAAGTTGATGGCTTGTAAATGACGGTTGTTGCTGTTGTGACTGTCGTTGGTGGTCTGCAGTGAAGCCTGAGCTGGCGAAGCAGTTTTACGACGCATTCTGTGACCGCGTGCGTCGAGAGTACGTTGCTGACAAGGTGGCGGATGGCAAGTTTGGAGCCTGGATGGAAGTATCAATTGTGAGGCATGATCGGGAAGTCCTAATAGGGGTGGTGCATTTTCATCTAATGCTGAGGTTGGTTGCGATGATGCAGGTGAACGATGGACCTGTGACGATGCAGATCGATTCGAAAGTCCGGAAGCCGTCGAAGAGTTGAAGTGTTCAATACTCAAGTGTTTCCGATGAATTCGGTCAAGCCACGATGGAACTTTTGTGAAGAATGACGGTGCTACGACCATCCGGCGATGAAGCTCACTACATCGGATGACACATGGTGGCTTGGCATCGCTAGATAACGCAACCAATCTAGCCTCTGATTCTCCATTCTGTTCGAACGTTTTCAGTCAACTGTTTTGTTGCGACATTTTCACAAGGACGCATCAGCAGCGTTTGTTCATGAAGTAACCCCGCCAGCAAGATCCCCGCGGATGTAAACGATCCAATTGCAACGCTTACGCGTCCTAAGACACCAAAGTTGTTTCATCTCTTGGTATGAGAGTATGGTGCTATTACCACGTCTCACGATGACGAAGAGATACTTCTTGTTGATTGTGATGGTCCATTGCTAAAGCATGTGTGCTTCGATTAAGGAGCTCGCGTACACGAAGTGGAATGCCGATACTATGCATCTACCGCAAGTCAAGATGAAGCACCCTGCTGTCACATTTGTTGGACTCCTCTGCATTTCCTGATCATACATCTCTGTAAAAAACTCAAATCTCACAGCATAAAGCATAGTTGCTGTGCTAGGCAGCTACATTCTCTACTTGGCCGAGCGCTGCACAAGGCGTCTCAGCCTTCTGCGACGATATGAGCACAGTCGCTTGCCAGAATTCACCTAGCACAGCAAACAAACCACATTAATTCACTGAGCTTTTTCATACCTCATCTTGCTGCTGCTTTAACTTTCCTATAAATTATAATGAACACGTTGACAAACACCTTTTTAAGTCGGCGAGCATCACAATCAAGCAGCTGCAGAGCTACAGGTTCACCAAGAAGGCGCATCCGCTCCAGAGCAAACTCCAGATTGTCCTTCATATTCATAATGTACTGTGGAGCCTCTGGCTCTCTCGGTGCTTCAGTTGCTACATCGATTAAATAAATGCATTTAAGCATCACACAAACAACAAACAAAATGACATCAAAACATATAAATATGCAAGTAAATATATAAATATGTAAGTAAATATAGAAATGTGTACATGGTGATCATTTAAAATGTCCCTAATTCTTTGATATGAGTCAAATATCCACTTACGTGCTCGAAAGAGGTCCCATAACTTGGTGTGCGAGGAGTGACAGCGATGCGCTGGTCGACCCCGTGTAGCCACTTGCTTGATCAATTTCGACAGCATCTTACGATACAAAAAGGAGACAATCGCTCGACCCAGGCAGACTGCACGGCTCGGGCTTTGATTGGTGGAGCTGCTGCCGCTGTTCACTGGTCAAAAACCGTGCGTGGTGTGTTCTACATAAAGCTTTTTGTAAAACGCGCTTTTGGCATCATGGCGGACGCGGCGACCGGCATCTTGGCAGGATTGTTGCCAGCGCGTACGGGGCTCACGAGGGCACTTTTGCTCGTTATTTGCACTACAAATGGATACCAGTGCTCTTACAATCCGTTTAACGTGCTTTTTTGCTATAGTGACGAAGCAAATCGCTGATAGTGTCGTGGAAGTGACGGGTGAAGTGGAAAATGCCCTGCATCAGGTGGGGCTTGACGTGTGTTGTGGGAGGTACTTCAGCGTTACTTTTTAGATCGTGATCTAACTGGCTCAAACTTGGTGACATGGGTACAGCAACTCGAGTCGACTGGGGATAAGAAGAAACAGGCGAGACAGCTGAATGCAGTGGCAAAGGTAAGAAAGACACTGGTGACACCATCTCCTGTCGCACGTCACCAGGACTGACGGTGCTTTTTTGGATGCTTTTTCTATCTTGTGTCGTATTCTTTTGGTGCTGATCTCTTCTTTTTTTATCAGGGATCTGGCAAATATATGTACAAAGTGCATCGTGCGTTTGAAAAGAACTTCAGCAAGTTTGAACTGTACGTTCGTCGCAACATTGTGTCGGTGCCTGACGCGCTCGTCGACACGGTCGCTCAGATTCGAGCCGAGCGTTGGAACAAGCAAGGCGAAGGAAGCGAGGCCGCGCGTCAAGAGCGTGAAGAAGAAGAAGCCACGTCATTGTTGTCAAAGGAAGAGAGAGAGGAACGTCAAGTGGATGCTCAGCTCGAAGCTTTGCGCGTGAAATTGCGGGAGTTAACAGTGACGAACCAGCGGCTCGAGCTCGAGCAGAGGTCGCTAGCTGAACGCACGCGGCACTTCCAAGGTCTTTTGTCCAAGGTCACGTTCCTAGACGATGTGCGTGAACGAGCGATTTTGCCGTTAAAACGTACGGCCGAGCACGTGACGACTCTTCGTCAAGCGTTATTACAGCTGGACACTGTCCAAGCGACACTGGAAGAGGATGTGCGGCAGTATAAGCGATCGAAAGTAGCTACACGGGGCACCTTTCACAACCTGCGCAAGCGCTTTGCAGCAAGATCGGCGGAAATGACGTACCGGACAACGGAAGATCTAGAGGAGCTGCATGCTAAATTGCTGACCATGTGACTGCTCACCTGGACCGTGACACAACAACGACAAACGCAGAGATGCCTCAATTTGAGATTTTGCGTTTTTCATTATCTACCATGCGCAGGCTTGATGTACCCACCGGCGCTCGGATCCAGTAACCGATCGAAGCCATTCTGGCTTCAGCAACAGAGGAAGTAGTAGCTACTCAAGTGCATGTCAAGGGCCAGTTGGCAAGAGCCACTGTTGACTGCAACTGTCGGCACTTTACTCTTCGTCCACGTCGTGCAAGTCATCGAGGACGTCAAACTCCTCGCCCTCGTCCGTGCTGCTGGTGCTCAGCACAGCCACAGGCAGAGCCTTAGTGTCCGATCGGACCTTGTCATGCAATGAGTGGCTGGCCTCAGCGTCGTGGCCGTGATCCCACGGGTGCTCGAACCCCTGTGGATAAGAAGCCACAACGTAATTGGACGTCAGTATTGTACATCAAGTGCTTTTCATATCAAGTGTATCGTTTGTAGAAAATCGACACTTTGTATCGACAAACGTCTCCAGAGTATACGTATACACACCAATACAGCAAGCCCGTCCTGTTTTGCCCGCCAAAAGACCCAGAGCCAGAGCATTGTACCGTACGCCAGCGCCAAGTTCTTGTGCACGGGACTCACGTGGAAGTGCATACCATGAGGGTAGCTGTGTCCGTCACGTCCATGTGACGAGGCCATGGTGCGGCGGCCAGCGGTTACGGCCATGCGCCGGGCGAGGGAGCTAGCGGCGCGCATTATTCGAGGCACAAGAGCTTTGTGGGATTTAGAAACGAGCGGTGGGGAATTAGCGCTTCGGATTGGATGAAAAGCATGTCGAGTTTCAGCGAATGAAAAAGACTTGGTAGCGGGGCATAGGGCTGTTTCCGATTAGTGATTTGAAATTTATGGGCTTCATGCACCAAAGTTACGTTCCTATTTGTGAAAAGCTGTACAGGTTGATGAGGTTGTGGAGTAAATGCGAGTTTTGTAGGCGAAACGCTTGTCCAAACTTTGCTCTCGTCTACAGCCGTTCGATCCGAAGACGCCAATTTCCACAAAAGCTGCAACACGGTCGGTTGATCGTAGCGATAGTTTGCGTGTGACGACGATTTTATACGACGATTGACAAACACATGAGTCACATGGTGTTTTAGATTACTCCGAGCGTCAAGTGCCAGAGCTGCCAGCATTACCGACATTCATCACTTCCAACTGATGCTACTGTGACGATGTTTGACTTACGCGGTGCGCAGGATAATGTGCACTCCACTGTCCGTGTCGACGATGTCGCTCAGCTGGCCCACAGCCAGTGCAAACCTTCACCATCAGACAAAATTAGACCATATTGTACAACAATTAGCAACTAACACGGCAGGCACACGCAGCTGCAAAAATACTACAACACTCACGTGGCTTCCTCAAAGGGTTTCTGCATCATACCGCGGCCAAACGGACCGAGGTCTCCACCGCGTGTGCCGCTGCTGCAGTCACTGTACTGCGTCGCCAGGTCCTCGAATTTGGCCTGATTCGACGCAATCTGTTCCCGCAATTCTGGCACAAATTATCGATAATTGTTGGCAAAATACGTCACACACAAATAAATGTGTTCTTTCTCCCTCTCTCTCTATAACGAGCCACAATTATAGAAACGTACGGACAAGCTGCGCAATAGCTTCATCCTTTGATCGCGTGATGTTGTTCGACAGTCGCGACGCTACGGCAAAAGACACAATCACAGATGGTATCAGCTATACGCGACTTTGCAAGTTCTTTATTCATCAGCAACGAACAAGTGCATACCAGGACGACGTGATCCGCTGTGCTTGATCAGCAAGTGAGACGCGCGGACTTGGTCTACATCGATATATGCGAGATGATTAGTAGGTGCACGCGGTCCTGTGACCATTATTGCCTGCCTAACTCGTACCGGTCATTTTAAATTGCGTGATAAAGATCGTCACGACAAATGAATGACGTATCAGACATGAGTGTCACCCTTCCCGGAATAAGGTAGGCCACACCACCTCATCCTCTGCTTTACGTACGTTACATTCCGTGCACATCTCAGACCGATCCAATGCATCAGCAGTCATTGGTCAAATCTCGCTCGCTATCTTTTTGCCCGATCTCTATCCTTCGCTATCTATCTCTAACCTTCGCTATCTTTCTCTAACCTTCGCCATCTGTCTCTAACCTTCGCTATCCGTCTCTAACCTTCGCTATCTTTCGCTATCGATAGAGAGCACGTAGCTGCCATGTGGTCGCAAGACTTTGTACGCGTCCTCCAAGGCGCTCGCAAGGTCGCGAACGAGCTCGCGCGTACGCAAGGCACTGAACTGACCGCCAAGACGGAGCAGCTGTCCAAGCACGCGGGCGAGATCAGTCGCAACCTGCCGCACTTTTTTCACGGTACGAATACCGCGACGGCTTCCAGTGGTGTTGGTGCTAGTGCTACTTCAGCACCTGTACTTCCAAAAGACGAGCGTGCCAAGCACCTGCTACTTCACAAGCAGCCGAAGCACGCAGCAACCGAAAGAAAAGTAACGCCACCGGAACTTACCCCAACCCTTAAACCAGAACTGCCACCACCCAATCAGATTCACTCACTACAGGCAACTCAGAAGAGCAAAGCAACGAATCAGACAACGGAAGCAACGAATCAGACACCAGAAGCAGCGAATCAGGTACTGAATCAGAAGAATCAGGTATTGGATTAGAAGAATCAGGTACTGGATCGGACCAAGGAAGTAACGAAGCAGGAAGCAGGTGCTGGCAAGACAAACACTGCCAGGGCCGCTGAAGTAACGCTAGAGGAGGACACCCCGCCACGTCGCGTGTGGGAAGAGAAGCACGTGCCGTCGTCGCCCTTGTCCCGTATCTTGGGCTTTGGAGGGCTCGCTGCGAGACTCGCCATGGGAACAGCTGCGGAGATGGTGCGCACGGGCGGCAAGCACGGCACGTACAACGCGCTCGTGTCGGACTCCAACGCGGAGAAACTGGCCGAGACGCTGTGCACGATGCGGGGCGCGGCCTTGAAGCTCGGCCAGATGTTGAGCATCCAAGACGAAGCCATGATCCCCTCGACGCTGGCGGCGGCGCTCAACCGGGTTCGTGAAAAGTACGTCTGTGCTTTTGATGGGCGGGCGGTTGTGTCTTGTGTCTCTTGTTGTTACTGATCGTGTGTTTTGTGTGTGTCTTTTTGTGTGGTGGTGGTCTTGCTGGTTCTTTACAGTGCGCATGTCATGCCCAAGGAGCAGCTGTATCGTCAGCTTGAAGTGGAGCTTGGGGAGGACTGGCGAAGCAAGTTCCAGGAATTTGACGACGTGCCAATTGCTGCTGCATCGATTGGACAAGTACTTTTTAAGCTGCTTTTTTGAGGTCTTGACGCCAGTGTATGGTGCTGATTCGGACGATGTGCTGCCGTGTTCTTTTCTGTAGGTGCACCGCGCTACGCTGTTGAACGGTGATCGCGTGGCGATCAAGATCCAGTATCCAGGCGTAGCACAGTCGATTGGCAGTGACCTTCTTAACTTGAAGCGGCTGGTAACGTACACGAACATACTGCCACGTGGTCTGTACATTGACGAGATCATTCGTGTCGGTGAAGAAGAGCTCACGGCCGAGTGCGACTACGTTCAAGAAGCAGCGAACCAGGAACGTTTCAAGGAGCTTATCCAGCAGAGCGGTATGGCCGAACAATTTATTGTGCCGCGTGTGTACCGGCAACTATCGACGGCACGTATCCTGACGACGCAATTGATCTCGGGCGTTGCCGTTGACAAGGCCGTGCATCTCTCACAGGATGTACGCAACAGCATCGGCCGCCGTCTTCTCGAGCTCACGATCCATGAGCTCTTCAATTGGCGGTTCATGCAGACGGACCCGAATTGGAGTAACTTCATGTACAACGCATCCACCGGCACGATTGGGCTTGTGGATTTTGGTGCTGCTCGCGAGTATCCAAAGTCGTTTGTCGATGACTACTTTAATATTGTATGGGCGGCGGCGAACGAGGACAAGAAGACACTGGTGGACTATTCGATCAAGATGCGCTTCCTCACTGGCGACGAGTCGCCTGCGATGATGCGTGCCCATGTTGCGGCAGGTATGGCGGTTGGCGAGCCTTTCCGGTCACACGATCCGTTTGATTTCGAGAAGAGCAAGTTGACTTCTCGACTGAGCCAGCATACAGAAGTGTTCATGCACGGTCGTTTGACACCTCCGCCGCAAGAAGTATACTCTCTGCATCGGAAACTTGCAGGTGCCTTCCTCATGTGCATCAAACTGCGAGCCGTTGTACCATGTCGGGGCGTGCTTGAGGACGTGCAGCGGTAATATTACTCGTAGCTGAGTTGTTCTGCTCACCCAAGAACAGAGCAGCAAGTGACAGGTTATGGGTGATGTTGGTGATATACATTAGTATCTGAGATCGCGAGAACACCATGGTAAAGCGCGCATGTGGTGTCGCTAAGAAAGAATTGATGAACCAAAGATGAAAGTTTACGTGGATATCAAAGTGTTGACTGACGAATTTCGGAATACGTGCCGTCACATATAAGGCTTGTCGTAATCTCAACTTGTTGTTGTTTCGATGTCGATCATCGATGTGAGAAAGGCTGTCGGGCGCTACAAAGTTGTGAAGAGCTCACTCACCTTTTCACCCAAGACAAGCTTTCAACGCATTCGAGGAGCATGTTTTTGGCCCAGATCCGCGTAGCAGCCTTGGAGGTGACAGAAAGTCGAGCTGGAATCTTGCGCCTTATCGGGGTGCGTATCTGTTCACATCATCGATGTCCGCTTTCGTGGGTCAGAGGTCTAATGTGTTTACATGCTGACTAAATAGGGGGACTCGCTGAAGCCAACTGAAGCATGGGCAGAGGATGAATCAGAGAAACAGGTGCATGTGCCACTCTTGCTGTTGGTGCTTGTGCTCAATGTTTCTGATCATTTGATGTTCTGCAGGAAGCACCTACCGAGATTATCAACAGCCTCGAAGATGTCAAGACGGATACTGCAGTAGCTATTAAGGACCCTTTTGAGCGCTATCGCAAAATGCTCAAAGTTGGTGTGCCTCGAGAAACGGTCGAGGAGCAAATGCGGATTGATCGAGTTGACCCTACGGGACTCGATGTAAAAGGAGTGTCCGGTGCGAAGCAAGTCACTGCACCAGTGGTGCGTGATGTTCGTGTGACCAAAACCAAACGCCGTCGATGGCATTGGACGGAAGTTGCAGAGGTTGACCGAACTGCACCACCGTCAAAAGGGTCGTTATGGACACTAGTGAATGAGAAGGGAGCCCATCAGCGACTCTCCGCTTCTTCTCAGGCTTACATCCAAGAGCTCTATGTGAAAGAGATTGGCAATCGGGTCGAAAGCTCCAAACAGGTTCAGATGAAGATTAGCACAAAAACAGCTCCGGCCATCCATCGTTCTCGATCTGCTAAACCCGACAAAGTGCAGATCTTAAAAGGGAATAAAGCTGTGAACCTCGAGTTCGCAGCAAAGCGCATCGCTCCTCCGTTCGAGAAAGTGGCGAGAGATGTTAATATACTGACCGCTATGTATCTGCAAGACACCGATATCAAGACTATTCTCGCAATGTGGCCAAGCATGGCTGAAGAAATTGCCCTCGAAGAGTATTCGGAAGACTTTGATGCGCTCAAGCCCGTACGTGTTGTGTGAAGATTGGCACAATGGATAACCAATTGTGATTGATAATGGTCGTGTATTTCTTCTTACAGAGCGAGCAGTTTCTCGTGATGATCCGAGCTGTTCCAATGGCCAAAGATAAGCTCAAATGTCTGCTGTTGAAGCTGGAGTTGCCCTCACGAGCTGAAAATCTCAAGTACGCACTTAATCCGCTCGAGGTGACGAACGGTGTGGTGTAAGAAGGGCAAACTAACGCGTGTGCGTGTTGATCGGATCTGGTCGTAGACAAGCCGCAGGTTTAGTGACCCGGGCGCTGAACCAACTGTGTTCGAGCCACAAATTTACCCGAGTCATGCAACTGCTTCGCGATTTTGGTAATCTTGCTAATGAAGAGTTTGTTACGAACTACAAAGCGAGGTTTTCGCTGAGGTCGCTCGTGACGATGACGAACACGAAGTCGTTCGACAACTCAAACACGATGCTTGACGGATTTTTACACGTCCTTCGGGTACGAAGAGGAGCGCATTCTACCTGCAAAATGTAGTCAGCGTTGACTGTTTCCTAACGTTGCATGTGCCTATTGTGGTGAATAGATGGAAGATAATGGCAATTTGTCGACGTTCTACGACGAGATCAATCTCGTCTTGCAGTGCAAGAGTGTATCAGTCGACAGCCTGAACTCCGAAATGAATCAGCTTTGTGAGGGTCATGCGTTGGTAAAATCTGTGGCTCGAGCAAGCGGTGATGCAGCTGGAGAGGATGCAACACTCGCTCATAAGGCGTTTACACAATTTGCCGACGAAGTTGACGACAAGTTACGGGGTGTGCAGATGAGTTTAGACGCCATGAAATCGAGTGTAAGTGTTTGTACTCATCTGTTTGTTTGCTAGCGCGATGTTGTCGCTCTCTTGTCAAATTGCCGTGTTTACATATTTCCTCGGTGTGGCATTGTATGGGAATGAGTAGAAGCACAAGTTTGAGGCGTGGTTCGAAGAGGATTCAAGGGCTCCGCTGGATCACCACCTTAAGGCGATTGTGCACTTTGCACTCGAAGTCAAGGCTCGAAACGCCGTTCTGTCACATAAACAGTAGCCAGTGTTGGTCGATTTCAGTGACGCCGTGTCGCATGACATTCCTCGTCCACATGACGAAGGGCCAGAGGCTCCCGCAGAACAAATGACCGAGTCCTTACTGCTTCTTGCGGCTGAAGCAGCGACATTTGCAACCGTAGTACGAGTGAATGCAAAGCATGACAAGTCAAAGACGAACACAGTGTGGTAGTTATAATACAGTTGTTAGTATAAGTTAAAGACTCTTCATCGGAAGCTCCTTCTGCATTGCTGCAGTACAGCTCCCATCCCAGGAGCCAGCTTCGTCCACTCTATCTGCTGCTGCTCAGAGTCCAAGCATTGCTGCATTGCTGCAGACAAAGAGCATGAAGCGATTGCGACACGCGCAGAGTTGGTCCTGCATGTCCACCAGGGCAAAGTGACGAGAGTGCACGCGACAGAGGTACTGCATCATCGAGACCATCTGCTGGCACATGGTGCGAATCTGCGGGACCGTGAGTGCCTGCGACGACGCCAGCGACGCGCCCATTTGGTCCAGAGTCACACGAAAGCTGCAGACAGGCGTGTCAACGCGTCCGAGGTCGTTGCAGAGATCAGCTGCGACACGGAGCAGCAGCTCCAATTCCTCGCGTAGCAGTGTGGCCTCTTCCAGCACCATCTCGTACTCGAGTTCGGTCCACGAGTGACGCGCGCGCTTGTCCCGGCATTCATCGGGTAGAACGACTTTGCGCTTGCGACTGGTGGCACTAGTCGATGCCAATCGACTCGACGGTTGACGCTCGTTCACCAAAAGCATGATGACAGGAGTAGCAGCAGTAGCAGTAGTAGTAGTAGTAGTGTTAATGTCCGCACTACGATGTAAGGAGCGGCTGGAGTCGTGCGCAAATGCGACTTGGTACAGTGCGTCGAGACGTTTACTTTTCGTCGACGTGCTTTGTACCAGGCACTTTCGCAAATGAGCTGTTCGTCGTGACGGGATGCGCCCATCAAAAATTTCGAGCCTGAAAAATTGAAGCTGTGGAAATATTTCAAGACATGGCTGACATGACTGTTCGAACGTCGCACATAGCGCGAGCCAAGAAGTGCGGGATCAACTCGTGAACGTTTGAATAAAATAAAACGGATACTCCGACCCATTGCAGAGCTGCTGAGCTAGCGGTTGTTTGGTAGCAGGTAGAAAAGGTTGGGAACAATCAACAAGTTGTTACGTAAAATTTGCAGACTCGGTCGCCTTGCACTGCTGGGCGTCGACTTTCGTTCGCCGCCGGGGTTCATGGCGATGTTATGTTGCCAACGGAGGAGGATCTCGGGATTAGACGCCCACTGGCGGCGCGTGAAAAAAAGCACAGCGTTGGACGAAGTTATGGTGCCACGCACGTGACACAAGGATTTCAATCGCTGCTTGTAGAATCCGGTTGCAAGGAACTACTTGAGCATCGCATAGTTGCCGTCAGTTAGTCTGACGCCAAGTGATCGTCTCATTTGGCGCAGCTACTACTGCTACTACTGCAACTGCAACTCGCAGTAGCAGCAAAGGCCGTACGAAACGTCGGTCAGTGATTCGTACCGAGCAATTCTTAGCGGATAAGGCGTAAAAATTTGAGCTGCCGTGTGACGACGTATGCGAGCGCAAAAATCAGTTGCCCGCACCTGCGAACCATGGCGTTAGGACCCGGGGTATAGCACCGAGTGATACGATTAGTAGTGCCCCACCTGTGCTCCATTCATATGGCACTACTACATGGATGGCCGAAGAAAAAACAAGTGGCTTGGACAATGCAGAGTTCAAAGCGCTGTGAACAGTGCATATGATGGCCCGTCCGAGGAAGGAAGTGACCGTTAAAATTTTAATGGAGCGGCTGAACCGGCTATTGAGAGGTAGCCGGATCGTGTAGTGTTGTGACGAAGTCTCTTCACTTGAGCGATTGAACAGGAAGGAAGTCCCACGGCAGGTTATACGTGCGACCAGCTTTGTCTTGTCTCCACTTTGTTCGAATGTTGACGAGTGATACATCCAGTAGTTTTGACTTTTGGCAACAGCCAAGAGCGAGTTGAGGTGGGAGAGCTTAGAAGAAGGTAAAATGGAAAGTGAATTATCATCTAGCTAGGTCCTTAGTTCGTCTCGTTGTACTACTCTAAGCCTATCGATATCGACTCTATAATATTAGTAACAAAACGATGAGTCGATCCCATCGTTACACACTATCACACAGTGTCGTCCATGACATATGGTCATTAGTATCAGTAACCAACACCGTTACCAATACTCCCCCTCGACTAGAAGTCTCTGATCCTGGCCTTGTCCAGCAGCGACTCGAACTTCTTTGTCGAAATCGGTTTGGTCAGAAAATCTGCCAGCTGTGACTTGGTTTCAGTATACTGCAGGTCGATAATCTTGTCTTTCACCTGTTCGCGCACAAAATGGTATCTGATGTCGATATGTTTCGCTCGACTTTGATAGCCGTCGGTCTTTGCAATTGCTATTGCACTCTGGTTGTCTTCGTGAATCTTGACAGCATAGTTAATCTGCACTTGCATCTCCTTGAGTAGACTTCTTGTCCACAGAACCTCCTGCACACATAAAGAAAGAGCCATATACTCTGCTTCTGCCGTGCTCAGTGCCACGCTCTGCTGCATCTTCGACTTGAAAATCACAGGTGCGCCATTAATCATGATAAAAACTCCCGAAATCGATCTGCGATTCCACTTGTTACTTGCCCAGTCTGCATCGGTGTACGCGCTCAGCTGAAGATTGCCTGAAACTCCTTCATAACAAATTCCTTTGCTCTGCGTCGTCTTCAGATATCGCAACACTCGAATCGCTGCATTCCAGTGCTCTTCATGTGGAAATTCCAAATGACGACTCAGCTGACATACTGTATACGCAATATCTGGTCGTGTGCCTGTTGCCACATACAACAACGACCCCACTAACGATCGATACGGTCGATTCTTCATTCTTGTGTCAGCTTTGTCCATCTTGACCATCGCTTGCCCTTCAACACTTGGATTTGACACTGCTTTCGCATCAACTTGATTAAATTTCTCGACCATTCTTGATATACACGATCCTTGACTGATCTTCAGACGTCGATTGTTGCGCAGGTACTTGACTTCGATTCCAAGAACGTATCGAACACCCCCTAGTATCTTCAACTGGAAACGACTTGATAGTTGAGCTGCCACATCTTCCATCACTCCAGTAGATTCAGCCCCAATTAGAAGGTCGTCCACATATAATGCAGCGTAAATCCACGAGCCCTTGGTCTCTTTGACGAAAATGCATGAGTCTGCCACGCATGAAGAGAACCCCATCTCCACAAACACACACGAAATTGTCTTGTACCATGTAGCGGCCGCTTGTTTCAGCCCATACAGACTGCGATTCAGCTTAAGCACTTGATTATGTTCTGCACGAACACCCAGAGGAGGGTATACGTATACCTCTTCTTCCAAAACGCCATACAGAAAAGCAGTGTCGACATCATATTGATGAATCAACATCCCCTTTTGACAGCACACCGCCAAAAACACCCGTATTGAGTTGAGGTTTGCCACAGGTGAATATGTCTCCATGTAGTCAACTCCATACGTCTGCCTGTAGCCAAGTGCTACAAGACGTGCCTTGTATCGAATAATCTCACCCAGCTCGTTTCGTTTGAGTGCGAACACCCACTTGGTTCCAATCACTTTCTGGTTTGGACGCTGTGTTTGAACAGTCCAGGTGTCCTTTTCCTCTAATGCCTTGAGCTCAGCTTGAATGGCCTTGTACCAATTATCACGACGAGGTGACTTAAGAGCTTCTTCGTATGTCGTTGGGGTCTCGAACGCTGCACATGCTTGCTCATACCCAATACGTAGTCTCTTTGTGCCTTTTTCTTGACACACTTCTGAGCCGTCGTAAAAGTCCTCATCAGCACCATTCACTGGTATTAACGCTTGAGATTGTCCATGTTGAACCGATTCTAGTGGAACCATCGCGGTTTCTTGCGATGCTTGAATACTTGTCTGTCGACTTGGTCGTATCACCATCTGTCCTTGTCTTGACACGTCTTCAGCCGATTCTTGATCTTCTTCAATCATCGTCACATCATCAATTTCAAACATTGGATCGTCAGCATTGGAACCCACGTGTTCAGGCATCTTGCTACTGCATCTTGATGGTAGAGCCATCGTTGTTGTACGCATGTCTTGCATGTGACTCTCTTCTTGAACACTGTGACTGTCCTCCATTGCTATGTCCATGTCTTTCGTGACTCGTGGCTGTTCTAAATCGATAGAAACAGTGTCTTCGTCATGAACAGCGCGAAACTCTTGGTCACTTGATCTGCTGTAACGTTGCACGTACTGAAGTGGTGGTCTCTCATCGAATTTAGCCGATCTCGTGTGCGTCACCCTCTTGGCATCTTCATCCCATATTCGAAGCCCCTTGATTTGATCCGAGTAACCTAGAAAAATACATCGAATCGCCTTCTTGGTCATCTTGGTCCTGTTCGACTTGTCGACATGTGCATATCCCTTTGATCCAAATACACACATCTCGGAGAGGTCAGGCTTCTTCCCGAAGATGAACTCAAATGGAGTTTTAGTCGGGTGACTAGCACATGGAACTCGGTTTGTCACATAGACTGCCGTGTTCATCGCCTCAGCCCACCAAATTTTATCCACTTGCATATGGCTGAGCATTGCTCTGGCCCGCTCTGTCAGTGTCCTGTTCATGCGTTCGGCCAGCCCATTCTGTTGTGGCGAATAGGGTACCGTCGTCTGATGCATGATACCAGATTTTCGACATACACCGGAGAAACGTCTGTTGACGTATTCCGTCCCGTTGTCCGTCCTGATACACTTGATCTTCTTGGACAGTTGATTCTCCATAAGTGCCTTATACTCTATAAAGCGATCCGTCACTTCCGACTTGTTCTCAATATAGTATGCGACTATATATCTCGAATAATCATCAATAAAAGTCACGACAAATCTTGATCCTCCTCGAGACTTCGATTCCATAGGTCCCATGACATCACTGTGGACCAACTGCAACACCTCCTTGGTTTTCACGTGTCCGTATGGTGACTTCGGAAACGTCTTGACGGTTGCTTTACCCATGATGCACCCTTCGCAGATCTCGATATCATCTTCAACGCCTTGATTCTTCTTGATCTTTAATCCATTGACGCAACCTGCCATACCCTTGAGCATCTTCGTTGACAGGTGACCTAATCTTGCATGCCACACTTGTAGATCAGCCGCTCCTGATCCGTCACTTGATTCTTGCTCTTGAGATGTCTCTCCGCAAACGTTGGCTACCTCAGCCGGACTGCACTCTAAGACGTACATCTTGTTTCGTCTTGGTATTTGGGCAACGACTTCCGTGTTACTTCTGATCTGACAGCTCAGATCTGAGAAGATCACTTGTAGACCCCTCTTTGACAATGCCGATATTGACAGTAGCCTTCGGTCTAGGCCCGGCACCCATAGCGTTTCTTCGATCCTGATCACTTCACCAGTCTTGAGTTGCACGCGCACTGTCCCAACACCTTGCGCTTCCACTTCGCTGCCGTCTGCTATGGTGATCATGATCGGGTCCGTCAGTGAGTTTAAATTCGAAAACTCATTTCTGTCGGGACACATGTGGCTGCTTGCCCCACTGTCCAATAACCATCCAGCTGACGTCCGACTTGACGCAGTAAATGCTCTCTCTTCTCCAGATCGCTCTGTCTCCACTTGTTCAGCCTTGCAATCTTGACGCTTGTGCCCATATTTGTTACATCGGTAACACCTTCCCGAAAACTTTTCACCTCTTGAACTTGATCTCCCCATATGTCTGCGCGGACCTTTCTTGTACTTGGAAGTGTGCGTACTTTTCAGTGCGATTTCTTGGTGTTCTGTCCTCGCCATTCCATCGTACTCCCGTCTCAGCATTTCCTTAGCGTGAAACAGTGTCATTCCGGGCATGTTCTCAATTATCTTGACGATAGGGTCATAGTCTCTCGTTAGACTACCCAATAGGATGACCAAATGCTCATCCTGTGAGATCTCTTGTCCCACAGCTTGCATAGTCATGCACAGCTCGTCAAATCTCAGGAAGTGATCCATGATGCTTCCTCCCTTGGCCAACTTGAACTCATGTAGTTGCCGCCGCAACTGCACACGATTGTGCATACTTTGCCGCAGGAAGAAAGTCTTCAGTATGTCCCATGCTTTTGCCGTTGTCTCTGCCGTGCGCACCATTGACTGGAGATTTGTGCTGATCATTGTGGACACAATCGCGAAGGCCTTCATGTCGTTGACTTTCCAAGTTGACGCGCTTGCGTCTCCTTCTTCTGGGGCCTTCATAGCGTCTAGGTGCTCTAGCAATCCCTTCTTTGCCAGCCTCATCCTTGCGTTGAACTCCCACACGAAGTAGTTATCTTCGCGGAGTATGTCGCCCGCATCCGGCGTAGTTGGGCTCATAACCTTTTGACTTTTGGCAACAGCCAAGAGCGAGTTGAGGTGGGAGAGCTTAGAAGAAGGTAAAATGGAAAGTGAATTATCATCTAGCTAGGTCCTTAGTTCGTCTCGTTGTACTACTCTAAGCCTATCGATATCGACTCTATAATATTAGTAACAAAACGATGAGTCGATCCCATCGTTACACACGATCTCACACAGTGTCGTCCATGATATATGGTCATTAGTATCAGTTACCAACACCATTACCAATAAGTAGCTAGAATAGAGGTCGAGAGAGGCACGTGATGTCGCGGCGTGTTACTCATGGGCTATGATTACGAATTCCTGGAGGTTTCAGGAGCATCATCATGCGTGCGTTACTAGCATAATCAGGGGGAGTGTCACGGGGTTGTGTACGATAGCACAGCCGGAGGATCGGGGTCTGGTCCGTCTCCTAGACCCACCGAAACACAACATCGTGGTTGATTTGAGGATTCATGCTGTCTGCGCTTCTCGCGAAATGTCTTTCCTTACAACTAGTGCTTCTGCCGAGATACTAGCCGTGCCTACACGATCGTGTTTGTCACGGACCGCTTGACTACGAACGACAAGAGAATGGAGAATTTGACAACGACGGCTCAAAGTAGACACGCAAAAGTCCAGTAGTTCTTCAGAGATATTGAGAAGAGCGCGAATTGACATGATTGTCCCTTGCAATATGCGCAGCGCGTGTCATCTTCACCATTCTATCAGAGTGACAGATCAGCAGCGAGATGAAGCACGTCCATTCGAAGGACGAGTTTCCACCTCAAGACGTAACGTGCCAAACACAGTCTCGTGCTGCCGCATGTCCATAGCACCTCACGTATCACTTGTGCTTGACCAGCATATTGCAAAGTCAGTGTCTTCTCGACTGCCGGAGAGCTCTGGACACCGTCATCGTGTACATTTTACCGCCGTGACCTCTGCTTGCTTTGCTTCCCCTTCCTTGAGACCAGCGGCTTGCCCTGCATCAGAATGTCGAGCGCCTTGCGGTTCAAACACTCGCCCGTCGACGTGTCCAGTTGCAGATGTCGGCCACCTAATGCAAAGCTGTAGGCATCCTTGCCATCGTGTCCCAACAACTTTACGTCTGCCGAACAGCACACCATGAGTTCCACAAACAACGAACAAAACATGAGCTAACCAGCAGCATATCTTCACTACCAGCTTCTCACCCCTAGGCGAGACCTCCAGCACTTCCTTCACTCCAACACCCAGAATCGACACCCGCACGAATTCATGAGGGTCCCCGACTCTCCGACATGACACAATGTCGGTAACAACCTTATCACACAATCGCTTGGCCCCGAAAAACACAGCCACGGACGCACTTGAGATGGCGCCACTAGTTGCCAGCACCTACAGACAGCACCACCAGTCCACAAATCCTCCTTCTTATCAACACCTCTTCACTGCACAATTCCTCTTCCAAACCAGAGGATACAAAAGTCCACACAACAACATGAGCAACCTCCATCATATTCGCACTGGCATCAGCTTGGTAGACGAGACTCCCAGCCAGCATCAATGAGCAGTACATTTGGAAACGACTGCCAGGTCCCATATACCGCGTCACTTTGCCGCCGCAATGTTGCACGATTGGCACTTCATGCACTTTTCCGCTCGTCTTGTCCAGAACATTTCTACCATTTTCAAATCAGAGAGACACACACACACCATTCATTCATTCGTTCATTCACATGATAAACACGATTTGTCCACATTAACTCACTACGATTCAATTCTTCTATAAATCGTCACAAAAACACACACACGTACTGAACTGATGACTTCCCTGTCACAAAGCGTCGCAGTAAACGCGTCGTCTGCACGCCACGAAACGCCCGCACCACGCATCCGCGAGCCAGCATATTTTTATGTGGTCGACCACACATTCACGTACTCTACCCAACTCAGCAGCTCCACCACAATTAGTGTGGTCCACCTCAATCTACGTGCACCACTTACTGCTGATCAAACCCATCATCAGCTCAAGTTGGTCTCGTCATGACCAAGGTCCCGCGGCTTCTTTTCCGTTGGTCGTGGCTCACGTGGCTCGTGCTCGCGTACTGGAACAAGGCCAAGTCGTATCTGCTTTATTATCTCACCCTGTGGGTGTGGAGACCGCTTGTGACGCGCCTGGGAAGCGGCAGGAGGAATCTTCTGGCTCACGAGGCACCCGATGAAGGATCCGGTCCGTCATCTTTTGATTATAGCGTTACTACGGCACCTGGGGACGCTGTGATTGGACCTTCTGGACTCGTGAACATTGGCAACTTGTGCTTTGTGAACGCTGTACTGCAGTGCCTTGCGACTGTTCCAGAGTTTGTCGAGAGTGTGGACCGAGCGTTGCGTACACGGAATCAGCTCTATTCCAGTCAAATCGAGAACGATACTATTGAGAATAAGGTGTTGGTAGCAGAGACACTTGTGAGTTTATTGAGAGGCATTGGCCATGAGGTCGAGCTGAACGTGGAACTTGAAGCAGACGGTGAACAGAATCACTTGGGCCGTTTGGCTCGAGACGACAATCAGCAAAAGCTGCGAAGCTTTCGCTCGGCAGCAAGTCAATGCACTTACTTGGTGTCTAGTGCAGCCTCGAGACAGGAACAACAGGATGCTGAGGAATTCCTCTCGTTCTTGCTGGAGTTATTGCATGATTTGCTGCGAGTTTCGGCACAGCCGACTCGACAGGAAGAAGAGCGGCAACGCTTTTTGCAGTCGGAAGACTGGTTCTTGCAGCAGTTGAAGAAATGCGACCCGAACGATCCACGTTCGTATATACAAGCAGTGGGTATGTGGAGCTATGAGCGTCAAGGCGGATGTTGCGGCGGTGGTGTTGATTGTTTTGTATGTGATTGTGTGCTTTGGCGTGGGTTTAGCAAATATTGGCGACGTGAGATGGAACTACTTTTTGCGACAGAATGCCTCGGCGATTACTGATCTTTTTTCAGCGCAGACTGTGCGAGGTTCTCAATGCTGTAGTTGTGCGAACCTCACGTGTCTTCACGAAGAACAACGGTGAGTATTTTGATGCTGTCCACGGCGAGTGTCTGGTTGACTCACAAGATGATTGTGTGTAGGATATTTTCTCTTGCGATTTCTTCAGGAAATGAAGACCAAACGCTTGCCGAGTGTCTAGAACGCTTTCGTCATCCAGAGCAGCTTACTGGAGAGAATCGCGTATACTGCGATGGCTACTGCCGTGCTAAGACAACTCGCCTGACGCAGATTCTTCTGCAGCGTGTGCCACCAGTGTTAGTATTTCAACTGCAACGGTTTAAGCACACATCCTTGAAGGGGCAAACAGAGAAAGTGGATACGCCGGTGAGTTTTCCGTGTGGGAAGAATGACCCCCTGGACATTACCATGAACGCTTTTATGCGAGACGAAGAAGGTCGCGCGACGTTCGAGTTGACCGCAGTGTGCGCTCACGTTGGCAGCTCCATCGACTCCGGCCATTATGTCGCGTATGTGCGCCACGAATATTCACGTCACGACGCTATACGTCCCGAGCAATGGCTTCGGATTGATGATGAAGTAGTTTCCGTTATTGATGAAGCACAGCTACGAAACGAGACGCTGTGTTCTGCATATCTCCTCTTCTACGCTCAAGCACCCAGGCGAGAAGACGGTGATTGAAACAAGGCAATATGCACATGCTTGGAAGAATATGAGATATCCCGTGTCCGTGTCTTGCTTTGATTGCCTTGCGTCACTATACGTTGACGCATCGATATGAGTGCATTGTAGCCCAGACACCATTATAGTCACCAGATTGCATCTGACGATCCTTGCCTGTGCACAGTACTCGTCAAAACGGAGGATCCAACCTGTGCGCTATCGGTGTCTTTCGAGCACCTGTCGAGTTGTCACCACCAAGACTCGGCCATCGTTTTTTTTCATACTGTCGACTACGACGCCATGGGCGCTACGTATGTTCGATCAATACGTTAACATCTGAGCTGATGCCGGCACTTTGTCGTCACCCGCCGCTTTGCCGTGAGTTGATAGATAAGTTGACAGCAGATATAGGGTGAACCCTTTACATACCAAGCGATCTCGACGGCAAAAGCGCCCAACCATCAGGATCTACGACGCCGACGTGTAAAAGTAAAACTGATGGTAGTAGTCCAGCACGGCAGACGTCCCGAAGCGGAACAATTTGCCTATGCCTGGTACGTAATCCATGACGTGCGCCGCCTGCAGAAGGACAAGAATGACATCAGAGTTTGAGTACGCGACGACGTCGTTCACGAAGCTAAGCAGATGGTATTCACCTTTCCGACCGCAGGCTTTGTGATCGTGGCGAACACTGGGTCGCGAAGCAAGTAGAACAGAAGAGCCATCTATAGCATTCACATATTGGAGACGTATCACCTGTAAGAAGAAATCCTCAATAGACGTTGCCGTCATTTGTGCAGAAACGCTCCTACCTTCCGAGCTGCAATCTCATCCTTAGCCTTGTCCGTGCAGACAGACTTCTCACGTTCTACAGGTTTAGCCGCTGCAGCAGACAGCGCCAACCTGTAACACCATTACAGCAAGGTTAGTCACATAAATTAGCTGACGTACATCACAAAAGAAAAGCGTACCCGGAAAGCTCTACGAGAAGCGACACGAGAACGGGAGTCCACGAAGACTGAGGTCGCCGGCGACGGAGCAGCGCATACACCATGGGCCGCAATATGTGACAGACCTCTCCAGCCAGCAGAAGATCTTCACGGGATCCTTCCGCGAGTTCAATAGTAGCAGCCTATTCAATTACACAGTAACAAGCAGCACACGACCACATTACAACTGTCGGACGTTGTCCCATTACCATTTCCAGTCCACTCACTTCGAACGTGATCTTGTTGGGAGCTTCATCAACACCCTTTTCCGCCGGCGCACTAGGTTCTGAAGCCGTAGCTGTTTCGTCAAAATCAAAACGTCAGGAAGGAGTTGCAAAACAAAGCTGCCATTTATCTTGCAACGTCAAAAGCCAACCTTTTCCAAATGTCTTGCCCGTTCGAGCACCAGGTCTCTTAGCTTTTCCAAACCGGGCGAACGGAGACATCTGTGGCAACGATTCCACACCCTTGTACTATACAATTACAATAACAGGTCACAAAAGTGTAAGTTCATCTGCCAACAAGGATACTACCGCACATTGACGCACCTTGCCTCCACGTATAAGCATGGCACGACGTCGATGAGCGAGAAGTACGAGGAGGAGCATGCCCTTGATGACTTCCACCCACACGATGAGACGCCGCTTGCCAGCGTCGCTGCCGAATTTGCGAGCCACGACTTCTGCCGATACTTGTACATGCGAAATCAGCGACAGCGGTACACGAATCAAGCGCGTCAATCTGCCAGCACGAAAAACGACACAATAGAGACATCTCAGCTCGATAGCTCCATTTCAAAACCACGTCCACTTCATTACTACGCACTTTTGACCAGCCATCGACTGCTCCACTTCGTGATTAGTTCCTTTTTTCCATAGTACGTAATCATGATACAAATGCAGCAGTCCAACGAACGAGTAACCAACTTGGGCTGCGACTTCTGGCTCCATCGCACGTTTCTAGCACATTCGCATTTTGTCAAACTATCGTTCGAAAAAATCCAATCAACAAAAAAAGAATCGATTTTATCCATCTTGCATTCACGCACCGGAATTAACTGGGGTACGACATAAAGTGCCGTCTCAACATTGCGAGCTAAGCCTGTGTGGCTGCCCACCCACGTCTCGTATGCTGCAAAGAGGGACGCAGCTTTGTCGATAGATGAGGACGCAGAATCGTATCGTTCCTTGGACATGTGTGTGGTCGTGACCATCTCCTTCAAGCTGCTGCTAGGGTCTTCGTCCGGCATCACATCCGTCTCAATCGTCTCAATTGTCTCCGTCTCCTTTTTCATCCTGTTTTTTTCTAAATCTGTCCAAGTCGATAGCTTCAATTTTTGAAATTATATTCTACTGGATAGTCTCCAATTAATTGAATTCAAATAAATTCGCAAGCCTCTTTTTCCACAGCGAGTGTACCCAACTCACAACTAATCATCCTCAAGCATGACGACGCCAATTATAGCGACAGTAATCACATCATCAGAAGCTGACGCGACGTATGCGCTCGTCGAGGGGCGACAGGACATTGCTCGCTTACAGCAAGAGTATCGCATATACGGCTCCTCAGAAGGACCGATTGCGACTGCACGTTCAGCACCGACACGACTGCGCTTGGCCCTGGAAGAGGTAGCAGTCGGACTCACGAAAGGGTTTCTCCGCCTTGAAGTAGCCACAAACGCGTTAAGTAACAATGCCAATAGTACTAGTACGAGTAGTGAAAGTAGCTCAGTGGCCACCAGTGACAAGACGAGACAGGAACTGAGTCCAGTGGACATTATACAGGAAATAACTGGAGATCTGAATCGCAGAGGACCTCGTGGCAGCAAGTCGAGACTCGGTACGGTGCTGTCTGATGTATAATATCTTTTGTTTGGCTGGGAACCTCCAGGTCCCGACTCCTTATGATTTGGATGTGGCTGTAGCGCCTCGACGCCGTGACCGTGTACGGGTTTTTCGGGATCTGTGGGAACGAGGTTACGTCGTGACTGCTGGCTCGAAATTCGGTGCTGATTTTCTCATCTACAAAGGTCAAATGCAAGTTGTTGCTGTTGGGCTTGTGTGCGTGTACTTGTGTCGGATGAAAGCGCGTGCGTTGTTGTGCTTACGCTGTGGTTGAGCGGTGCAGATGATCCCAAGCGTGCTCATGCTGAGGCTTTGATTGTGGTGAAAGCGTACGAAGAAGAGTTTGCGCGCGTGGATGTTGTGAGCTTCTGTCGTGTAGCAAAGATGGTGAGGAAGCAGTTTCTGTTTGCGAGCGTGCGATCGAATGGAGATAGCGGGGGGGACGACGGCGACAAGGACGAAGATAGAGACAGTGATGTGGCTGTAGACAGCGTTGTGTACGTTTCCTTAACGCATGCGGTACTGGTCTCGCGCCATCAAGAAAGGAGCGAAGAAGGAGCAATGTGGTGATGGCGTAGCTGGATGTGATGGTGACATGTTCCGTGCTGCAGCGACTTATTTACGAGACCGCTTCCGGGAGATACGTTAATATGTCATTGAAATGAGCCAGGCGCCGTTATAATTGCACATCCATCAGCCAGCGCCTTGATAGTTTTTCACAAAGCATGTCGCGACTCAATTGAAGACCAATGAGCGAGTGTGTCTTCACAAAGCCTTACGGGAGACGTTACTTCTCTTCATCCCTAGTGCGATTCAATCAGTGACCCGGAATTATGAACGAGCTCGTAGCGAAGCTGTTTCTATGCTTTAATGCGTGTTAAGATAACACCTTAAGTCAGTGTGGAGATTCCTCTCTTGGGGTCCGAGCAGGTTTGTTGCAGAAATACTCGGTAATATACCGACTTGTCGGCTGAGCAATGGCGTTTGTTGTACACAGGTCCATCTGTTAACACCCGGAGCAGGTAGCAGAGCAGCTACGGCGTTGTCAGTAAGCTCGACATCATCAATGTATGCAAGCATGGTCGTGCAGAACGATCATAACTTTTGATAAAAAAGCGGCGCCTTTATGAATGGAGGTGCTGTTAAAAGCGATTCGAGATATCATGATGGTTCTCCACTTCACCCAATGAAGCGTACACGTGTGCACTCGTGCCCACACAAAGAAGTGTGCCAGTCCCTGTTGGAAACTGGATGCAAGTCAACGGTGGACAATAAGGTAAAGGGTGGCGGTTGACAATACCTTTTCCAGGGAAGGTTTTATCTGGAAGGTATTTCGTAGAAGATTCCTCCTGACATGAAGACATGCATTGAGTAGACTCAGTCCAAAAGTTTCCCTCCAGTAAACAAGTTGTTTGTGAGTGCGTAGCCATTGTTTCTCTTTATCAATACTCTATTAGGGTTATGAGCCCAAAGACGACCTGCTATTAAGAGAAGCGCTAAACAAGACTACACTACAACAACTATACCATGTATTCCTCATCGGACTCTGAGGACGGCAAGAGAAAAAGACACAAGGAGATTAAGTTGGGATCGCAAGGCACTCCAGTAAATTGGAATGGAGAAGACTGGACCTTCTACAAGCACGCGATGCTCAACGCATTCGAGCAAAACCTACTCGATGAGATCGCAGCAGGAGGCGTTGTGGAGGACGCATCCTGGAATCAAGCCAAGAAGGACAAGTTCAAGAAAAGTCAAGCCGAGGTGAAGATTCTTATTCAAGGCTCGTTGTCGATGAAGCTGGCCAAGCAGGTGATGTCGAAGAAGACAGGAACCGAGATGTGGCACGAGCTCTGCTCAAGTTTTGAAGGGAAGCAAAACTCAGCCATGAGAGCGCAGAAAGTGTACCGCCTCCAAAGCGAGCTACACAGGACCCATTTGCGTCCAAATGGTGACGTGAGAAGTCATTTGTACACCTTGTTCGACATCAAAGACCAGCTCGAGGACTTGAATTCTCCTGTAAATGATTTACAGATGGTGGACATGATGCTGCGCAGTCTCCCGACGCAGATGTGCTATAATGAACTCAGAAGAGAGGTATTATTTAGCTCAAATATGAGTAAATATACGCCTGAGATAGTTCGCGAGATGATATTCACCGCCGAGTCGCGCAGTAAAGACTGGGAAAGCTATGCATTCGGGAGCGCTCAAGGCAAGAAGAAGCCAAATGGTCCAACTACTGGAACGAGAGGTGGCATGAGGCAAACTTTGAGAGACGATAAGACGAGAAAAATCAAGAATCATGATTTTGAGTGTCATCATTGTGGAGGTAAAGGCCATTACAAGAGAAATTGTCCACAATTGATGAATGAAGAGAAGTCGCGTGGAAGAAAAAGTGCTCACGCAAAGTACGCCAACTCTGGTAGCAAGACGAAAATGGAAGAGAAGGGCGAGCCTTTATTGCAACGCAAGGTGCAAGCAGATAAGCGTGACGTGGTGATAGGAGAAGCTACAAAGTTGACGTCAAAGGATTCAACTTCTAGCAACTGGTATTTCGACACGGATACAAATGCCCACATAGTGTCCTCCAAGGAATACTTTACTGTACTACAGAGTATGGAAGACAGTGACTGGAATCCAATGATATCCGGATTCACACTCAATGGAGCGAAAGCAAAAGCTGAAGGATTTGGTACGATTATTCTTGCAACAGTTGTTGATGAAGAATTGGTAACAGTGTTCGTGGAAGACGTTCTCTACGTCCCTCAAGCTGGATGCAATTTGTTTTCGCCTGGTTTGGCTATGGACCAAGGATTCAGCATGTCATGGGACCCGAATGCTAAGATATTTACTATGACGAAAGACGATATCGAGGTGATACGGACACATCGGAAGCACCGCCTATGGACGTTTACTGCTCAAAATGCAAATAATACTGCACAGCACAAGAAAAACATTACCACGAAGCGACAAGTTATTGCTAACTTTGCAGTGACTGATGGTGTGGAAGATATCGATGTCTGGCATGAACGACTGGCACACACGTGTCCAGAATATATCCGGTTGATGGTTGATCGTGGCCTGGCAAAAGGTATCATGCTAAAGAGACGTGGGAAATTCGATTGTGTAGACTGTCATGTTGGTAAACAGCGGCGAAAGTCATTTCGAAAGGCGTTAGATAGAAATATCGCGAACGTTAATGACATTGTTTTTTCCGATTTGCTGATACCAGGAATAGGCAATGGATCCCATACACCGCCGTCCTAGTCGTTATGGATGGATACTCACGTTACGTCAGTGTCTTCATGCTCAAGTCTAAGTCTGAGAATGAAGTCAACAAATTCATGCAGGAATATATTGCTTGGGCTGAACGACAAGTTGGCAAGAGGGTTGAGGCTGTGATTACTCATCAGTTGAGTGAAGATTCTCAACGAAGCCAAGGAGCTCTCGTGAGGCAAGTCCTTACAGACAAAAGGCAGGAATTTTGCAATGGTACAATGGCACAGTGGTATCAAGAAAGGGGCATAGTGCATACAAGAGTCGGCCCCAAAGCGTCCCAACTAAATTTAGTTGAGCGCACACACCAGACATTGATTGGAATGGTGAAGACCATGATGCACCATTCTGGATTACCTAAATCATTTTGGGTGCATGCATTAGTAACAGCTGCCTACATCAAAAACAGAGTGTATTGCAAAGGGGCAGGAAGCACTCCGTATGAGTTGATGTTTGGTTCGAGACCGGACGTTCATCACATCCGGGCGTTTGGGTCACTCACTTATTGTCACACGCCAAGAGAGAAACGGAAAAAGCTGAGCATGAATTGCCGAGTGGGATTCCTCATTGGATATCACGAGAACATTGTTGGTTGTCATGTGTACTTCCCAACAGAGCACATGAAAGGATATGTGTCAGATGTCAAGATAAATGAGGCTATAAAGTATAAGGATCGTTTCGACAGTGGATATACATCAAAAGTCAGACGGTGGCTCCAGACACTAAGTGAATACACTGAGGAGGGCGCATTTAATGATTCTAGTTCTGAAGAATCCGAGGTGTCACATCTGACTGACATTGTAGCAAGCATGGATTGTAATAGCAGTACCATTCAGATGGAGACTGCTGAATCCGATCCCGACACTCTAAATGAGGCAGACCAAACCTTGTGGGATGACATGCTACGCAATAGTATTTTACCAGAAGTGGTCCAGACACAAGGACAAACCAGCGAACAATATTTCAGTGCGAGCAGTAGCGACAAAGAAGAAGGTCAGGAGAGCGAATCTGGTGAAACGCAGGGAGGAGAGCTAGAACCCAGTGACAGCGTTTCTCACGAACTATCTGAACATGCTACGCCGGGGGAAGAGTTAGCACCCAGTGACAGCATTTCTCAAGAATTTTCAGAAGATGCATCGGATCCTCCAGCTGATTCTACAGCACATTATTGCGCCGAATATTGTGACTCTGTTCCAGATAGCAACAAAGCAGTTGCAAATGACTCGGATATTTATGACGACGATAAAGACGATGCGGAATCCGGACTTGAGTCGCACAATGACGAGGAAACAGCTGACGATGATAACGCTGATGAAGATACAGACGCAGATGATGATACAGCTTCAGGTGAAGAGAGACTGCTCACTGATACTGGACATATAACAGACCCTGAAGTGACTCGAAATGAATCTGTCTATGCTGCAAGTGACTACAATTATGATTGTTTATTCGATCCTTTATTCGATCCAAGTGACATGTTGGAGGCTGTGAACGGCACCACGACGTTGACCATTGCCAATGATCAGCTGATCGGCCACAGAAGACCCAGAGATGTCGAAGTCAGGCGAAGTAGAGAGCACAAAAGAATAAAAGAGGATCACAAAAGAGCAAAGATCACTCCGCGTCTACCCATATTAAGAAAGAATGATCAGCAATGTATACTGAACCAGCGCAAAGATTTCACGGTTAACGCTGCATTCAGAACACCAAAGAACGTTGAAAGCGAAGCGTACGGTACTCGCGCAAGTGATATTCGGACACCAAAGAACTTTCGTCAGGCGATGTGCTCGAAATATGCAACCCAGTGGAAAGCAGCTATGGACGAAGAATTGGAAGCAATGAATTCCAAGGGAGTGATCACATTAATTTCGAAACGAGAGATGCCTGAAGACACTAAAGCGATCAAGACAATGTGGGTCTATAGTGTTAAAACGGACCACTTAGGCAACGTTATCCGTCTTCGAGCAAGAATTGTGGCTCGAGGCGACAAACAACGCCCAGGAATTGACTATGGAGAAACCTTCAGTCCTGTAGCACGTATGGCGACTTTCAGGATGTTCGTGGCCATTTGCCTATTGATGGACTTGACCATTTACCAGGGTGATATCAACACGGCCTACCTGAATGCACCCTTGGGGATCAAGCAGTACTTGGACTCTCTAAATGGATATCCTTCTGAAACTGACGACATGGTATATGTTGTTCACAAGGCACTGTATGGTCTTAAACAGTCTGGTCGAGAGTGGAACACCGAAGTAAATGCGTGGTTTTTACGGTATGGGTTTAAGCGTTGCACTACAGAACCGTGTCTGTATTACTACGATTCAGGTTCTAAGTTCGTATTGGCACTACTCTACGTGGATGACATTCTGTGTGCAACCAAGAATGAATTGTTCAAGACGAAAATGTTTCGGAGTCTGGACGAGGTCTATGGAATGAAGGATCAAGGTCTACTTAGCACTTATTTGGGTGTTCAAGTAGAGAGAAGCGATGATGCGATTAAATTCATCAGACGAAATACTGCGAAGACGTTATCAATCGTTTTAACTTTGGAGATGCGCACGCTAGCAGAATTTCGATGGAAACAAACATACGACTTGCTGTAAACGATACGGATACCGCGAGGGCCAAACGCATACCTGACAATGGCAAAGAATTTCCATATCGTGAGCTAATTGGCTCATTGATGTATCTGGCAACATGTACGAGGCCAGATCTTGCGTATGTGGTCGGGCAGCTTAGTAGATACGTGCAAAGCCCAACACAACAACACATTGGCGCAGCCAAGAGAGTGTTAAGGTATCTGGTGGGTTCCAAGACTCATGGAATTGTGTTCCACGCAAACAATGATGGAAAATTAAGAAGTGATTTAACCGTTGAGGGATTTTGCGATGCGGACTGGGGAAACGACCCAGACACGAGGAAAAGCATTACTGGATATGTACATTGCTTGGCAGGAGGTGCGATATCGTGGGCGTCACGACGGCAGAGTATCGTGGCTCAATCTACGGCTGAGGCCGAATATGTAGCAGCTTGCGAGGCCTGTATGGAAGGGAGGGGTCTCATTCAGGTTCTAATCGAGATATTCCCAAGGTTGGTGTCGAAGTTTCGTCTCGGGATTGACAATAAAGCTGCCTTTGTGATGGCTACAAACCCGACCTACAGTCGCAGAACACGACACATTGAACTACGCTGGCACTACGTTCGAGATCAGTATGTGAAGAAAGCAGTAGAACTGTGGAAGGTAAAGACAGACGTGAATCCCTCAGACTTGATGACCAAGTCCCTGGCGAGTGCGCGTTTTGAGGCACTTATCAGCATGATAGGGATGACCAAGAACGTTTTGCCGCAGTAACTACTGACGGAGGAGGGCGTGTTGGAAACTGGATGCAAGTCAACGGTGGACAATGAAGTAAAGGGTGGCGGTTGACAATACCTTTTCCAGGGAAGGTTTTATCTGGAAGGTATTTCGTAGAAGATTCCTCCTGACATGAAGACATGCATTGAGTAGACTCAGTCCAAAAGTTTCCCTCCAGTAAACAAGTTGTTTGTGAGTGCGTAGCCATTGTTTCTCTTTATCAATACTCTATTAGTCCCTTCTTCTGCAGCGCTTCATGCCTCTTACTATTTTAGGTGAAGGAATGAACAAAACAGGAGTTGCAGGCACAGCGTTCAGCGCGCGCAATGGGTCCAACTTCAACTTTCGATCGCAGAGTGATGGTCCTTTGGTTTCCTTTTGAAGATTGCACTACTTTGCCATTCCGCACTCTGACGCACGAAAGGAAGCAAAGCGTGGGAAGATGGAGAAGCTCGGTCCCGACGACGCAAGCGCCAAGAAGTCGACCTATGCGCAGGACGACATGGGCGAGCTCCGCAAGTACATTGGTGCGTCTATCGCTCGCTCCGTCTCCTACTTCGTTTGCTTACGCTTCTTCTGACATGGTGTTTGTCCTTCTAGTGGAGATGATGCAAGCCGAGATGGAACTCATGGAGACCATCAAGTCCAAAGAGCACCAAGTTGCCGGAACAAATGCCCGGATAAAGAACGTCAAGGTGCGTCGCAGATGGACAGCGCATAGTCGCAGTTGGTGATTGTGACCATCGCTCTGTCTAAAGGAGTTAATCATCCAAGAACATCGACGGTACACCACGTTGGTAAAAGACTTGGACGACGACGCCAAGGAGCTCAGGAGACTCGAAGAGAAGCGATTTGGTAAGAGATAACGGCGTTTGAGGGCTATCAAAGTATTTAGCTGACTGAATATTTGTCTTCTCAACAGTTGCGGAAGAAAAGCATCGACGATTTCGAGGTAAGAGGGACACCAAGTGATTATTGCTACTGCACCCAGTCGCACCGCGGTGGTACCAAGTATGTATGTGTAGATGCTGTGGCTCAACGGGAAAGCGAGGTGCAAGTCCTCCGCGATGAATTTCAGCGCCAGCGAGAGGCCATGCTTAGCTTGCGATGCCAGATTCTGAATGCGATGACTCAATTGGAAACACTTTCGTCGATGGACGAGTCGGTGAAGAACGATGCGCTTAGCGGTACGTTGCTCCTTATTTTGCATTTGCGTTCGATGTTAGGTGCTAATGAGTACACACGCCTTTTATTCATCGACGTGAACGACGGAGTGCAGTTACTGCTGCTATGAAAGAGTGGTCGGAGCCGATACCGCAACGCGCTGCTCGCCAGGAGATCTGTTCAAAGATCGAGCATACCAAACAGTCTACTGTGCAACTAGAGCGGGAGACCAGTCAGCTCATTGAAAAGTGGACAAGGATCGAAGCTGAGTTGTCAAACTGTGAGCTTGAGGTTCACAAGCTGCGTGAGCTTCTCTTTTCCAAGGAAAAGGAAGCTGCGGTCGCGTTGGAGCGACTACGTCAGGAGACTCTCCGTCTCATCCGAGAGAATGGTGGTGTTAATTCGGCGCTTCTTACGCCTCCAAAGTACTCGTCTAATCTTGAGTTTTACTGCTTGGATTCGTACAGATAAGATTGAAGGCAAGCTGAAGACGAAGCGCAAGAAATTCCGAACAAAAATCAAGAACGAGATCAGCACGTTGAAGCGCAGAATCTCCTTCATCACTGCAGGTGAACTCGTGATCCGTTCAGCTCAACTCGTTTCGTTCGTGTTGCTGACGCTGTGTAACTAGAGCTTGAAAAGTGTCAGATGACGAACGAAGACATGCTGTCACACATCGGCGCTATGGGCGCCAAGAGGGAAGAGCTGGAGGCAAGGTACTTAAAGCTGATCCCGTTTTGTACGCTACCTTCGGTCAGTGCCACTCATACGGCACTCTATTTCAGGCTAAGCGCTCGTGACGAACAGTTGGCTGTTGAAGAGGTAACGTCTTCGATTATCTTTTGACGTTGAACCACAACTGAGATCGTGCTGTACAGAATGTCATTGCTGAGCTATCGACAGCAATTGCTACCGGTGATCAGAGCAAAGATGACTTTGACACGAAGTGTCTTCAGGAAAAACTGGCTACAAAGCGAAGTGCAGTCGAGGCAGTCCAGAAAAAACTGCAGGAGAAGCAAGTACGTACCGAAGAGGATATCAGTGTCGATGCATTGTGACTCACTACTAGTGCTACTGTTGCGCAGAATCTGCTCAAGATTTCAAACGAAGGCCAAGCGCAAGTCAGTATGATGTTCTTTACGAACGCGTTGCAAGAATGAGACTGAACTGGCTGTGTAGGTCAATGAAACTCTGGGGGACATCGATACGCAGATCTTACGGACAAAGGACACTGCTGCAGCGTTGGACGGTGAAATAATATCGCTGGCGAAGGATCTTGAAGTGCAAGAGGTCAAACGCCAAAGCCTGAGTACATTGCTGGACAAAGCTGAGAAGGAGAATGACGATCTTCAAGTCGAAATTCAAGAATGCCAACGCCTAAACAAGAGCCTTGTCAAAAAGCAAGCAAAGCTCCGTCGACAGAAAGCCTCGTTACTCAAGCAAAAGCAAGAGCAGACATCGGAGCTTCGTCAAGCCGAAAACTTGCGCGGGGTCTTGGCCAAAGGAATTCAGGTTTGCATCGTCATACATCTCTACGGAATGTTTTAAGAAACTGCACCTAACTCCTCTTGCTTTGTTTTGGTAGTATGGAACCCAATACGCTCATGATCTTGACAACGCCAACACGCACAACAACGACCTGAGAAAACGCATTGAAGTTGAGCTCCGTCACCAAGAGCTAATATTGCAGGAACAGTGCGCTCGAGAAGAGCACAAACTTCAAGCAGAGGTCATGGCTTGGGACGATAAGGTACGGTAAACTTTACTGAATTTCATGTGTCTTCTTTCGATGTTAATTTTGAAGTGCGTGCAGATTAAACGAATGGAGCAAGAACTTCGCATCGAAGCGTAACGCTGAGCACAAAGGGGGTTCAAGTCATTTTTGGAAAACAAGTAGTGCCATATCCAGCACAGTACGCTAAGCACGCAAGTTCCGTGCGAATAAAAAGGAGGAGTCACAAGGCAATAGCACGAGAGCAGCTTTATCCCTTCATTTTCTTGCTTGCCGAGCCTGCTGCATGGGTACGACCCACAAAATGAGTGCTTTCCTTTCTGACCCAATTTGGTTTTGACTACCGTCGGAAAATGCATGACCCTGTCTATCGAGTACCTCAAACGAAGAGACAACACTTGATGGGAGCGATACGGTATCGACGACTCTAAATCTTGACCGCGACTGAGTCCGAGCAAATTGATTGTGGCGATTGTTATGGACCAATTGCAGTGGCAAAGCATCTTATGATCGCGAAAGAACGATATTGCTGCATCCTGGGAACTACATGCGATTAGTGCTTTAAGCAATTCGTATAGGGGCCTAGTCATGAACATGTGGTGGGTGTTCGTTGTGCAAATGGACTCAATGTTGTCGATGACGGCTGATTGTGCCTGGTTTGTAGCTATAGGAATACGATTTGTCTCACTCGTGGACTAGGAGCGAGGTGAGAACAAAGCGTCCCTTAGCCTCTTCATCTTCGCTGTTTATACGATACCGTAGGAAGGGCCGTTTTGCCATGTGAAAATGCGGTAGCTGTAATGGTTAGAACGCGACATCTACGAAAAGTATCTATCGATCCTCAACAGATAGTAAATCTTGACTGATGACCAACCATTGGGACCTTACGCTGCAACAAGCAAAGACAATGTTGACCCAACAAACACATATGACAGCAATCGAGATTTCTCCAACGAAAAGCTAAGACTAGTCGTGCAATCTGCAAAATTAACATGATCTTGGTCATAAACAGAGAAGGTCTTGCTGCGTTGTTTCATGCTTCCCACAGAATTGTTGTCCAAAGCTTGGTCATTCTCAATTGGCAGTATCGTCGATTTTCAGCACTTCAATCTCGAAAACGAGCGTCGAATTGGGCTGAATCGTACACTTTTCAAACACAGTTAAGGAATCTACGACACTTTAAATTATGGATACGACACGATTGCAAGGATCGAATTTCTATAAAAAGCAGTTGAAAGGATATCCCCAGGCTGGAAACCCATCCGCGCCATACGCATAGTCAGACGTGCACGTGAGTCGGGCCTTCTCGTTCAGCTGCATGTCCTGCACACCCTCGTCCCATCTCTTGATCACTTGCTGCAGTCCGACGGCGAACGTGAATGGTGTCTGACCAGGATCTTTTGTGCTCCAGAACTTCTGCTGCGGGTCGCGGTTCTTACCGTATCCCGCGCAATGAACCGTCACGGACGCAACTTTCGTGGGCTTTGGGCCGTTGCCTGCCGAGAGAATCTCTTTAGTCATACCCATTGCAACTGGAGAAATAGTTTGATGGCTGGAAAGCTCAGAGAGTGTGTGGCGAGACCCAAGATAAGCACATCGTGTATCTTGTTTCGTCCACTAGATTGGGCACGATTTGCCCAAATTTGTCGTTTTGACTACCGTCGATAGTTAAAATATTCTCACAACCAGTATGGTTTAAACTGCGATTATCCAACTGACAGATCCGAACCAAACAGCATTTGCAAGACATGGGGTTCTTTTGACTTTTGGCAACAGCCAAGGGCGAGTTGAGGTGGGAGAGCTTAGAAGAAGGTAAAATGGAAATTGAATTATCATCTAGCTAGGTCCTTAATCCGTCTCGTTGTACTACTCTAAGCCTATCGATATCGACTCTATAATATTAGTAACAAAACGATGAGTCGATCCCATCGTTACACACGATCACACAGTGTCGTCCATGATATGTGGTCATTAGTATCAGTAACCAACACCATTACCAATACTCCCCCTCGACTAGAAGTCTCTAATTCTGGCTTTGTCCAGCAGCGACTCGAACTTCTTTGTCGAAATCGGTTTGGTCAGAAAATCTGCCAGCTGTGACTTGGTTTCAGTATACTGCAGGTCGATAATCTTGTCTTTCACCTGTTCGCGCACAAAATAGTATCTGATGTCGATATGTTTCGCTCGAATTTGATAGTTGTCACTCTTAGCGATAGCGATTGCAGTCTGGTTGTCTTCGTGAATCGTGACAGCATAGTTAATCTGCACTTGCATCTCCTTGAGTAGACTTCTTGTCCACAGAACCTCCTGCACACACAAAGAAAGAGTCATATACTCTGCTTCTGCCGTGCTCAGTGCCACGCTCTGCTGCATGTTCGATTTGAAAATCACAGGTGCGCCATTAATCATGACAAAAACTTCCGAAATCGATCTGCGATTCCACTTGTTACTTGCCCAGTCCGCATCGGTGTACGCGCTCAGCTGAAGATTGCCTAAAACTTCTTCAAAACAAATTCCTTTGCTCTGCGTCGTCTTCAGATATCGTAACACTCGAATTGCTGCATTCCGGTGCTCTTTATGCAGAAATTCCAAATGACGACTCAGCTGACATACTGCGTACGCAATATCTGGTCGTGTGCCTGTTGCCACATACTTCAACGACCCCTCTAACGACCGATACGGCCGATTCTTCATTCTTGTGTCAGCTTTGTCCATCTTGACCATCGCTTGCCCTTCAACACTTGGATTTGACACTGCTTTCGCATCAACTTGATATAATTTCTCGACCATTCTTGATATACACGATCCTTGACTGACCTTCAGACGTCGATTGTCGCGCAGGTACTTGACTTCGATTCCGAGAACGTATCGAACACCCCCTAGTATCTTTAACTGAAAAAGACTTGATAGTTGAGCTGCCACATCGTCCATCGTTCCAGTAAACTCAGCCCCAACTAGAAGGTCGTCCACATATAATGCAGCGTAAATCACGAGCCCTTGGTCTCTTTAACGAAGATGCATGAGTCTGCCACAGATGAAGAGAACCCCATCTCCACAAATACACACAAAGTTGTCTTGTACCATGTAACGGCCGCTTGTTCTAGCCCATACAGACTGCAATTCAGCTTAAGCACTTAATTATGTCCTGCACGAACGCCCAGCGGAGGGTATACGTATACCTCTTCTTCCAAAACGCCATATAGAAAAGCAATGTCGACATCACATTGATGAATCAACATGCCCTTTTGACAAAACACCGCGAAAAACACTCGTATTGAGTTGAGGTTTGCCACAGGTGAATATGTCTCCATGTAATCAACTTTATACGTCTGCCTGTAGCCAAGTGCTACAAGACGTGCCTTGTATCGAATAATCTCACCCAGCTCGTTTCATTTGAGTGCGAGCACCCACTTGGTTCCAATCACTTTCTGGCTTGGACGCTGTGTTTGAACTGTCCAGGTGTCCTTTTCCTCTAATGCCTTGAGCTTAGCTTGTATGGCCTTGTACCAACAATCACTACAAGGTGACTAAAGAGCTTCGTATGTCGTTGGGGTTTCGAACGCTCCACATGCTTGCTCATTCCCAATACGTAGTCTCTTTGTGCCTCTTTCTTGACACAATTCTGAGCCGTCATAATAATTCCTCGTCAGCACCACCCACTGGTATTAACGCTTGAGATTGTCCATGTTGAACCGATTTTAGTGGAACCATCGCAATTTATTGCGATGCTTGAATACTTGTCTGTCGACTTGGTCGTATCGCCATCTGTCCTTGTGTTGACATTTCTTCAGCTGATTCTTGATCTTCTTCAATCATCGTCACATCATAAATTTCAAACTTCGGGTCGTCAGCATTGTAACCCACGTGTTCAGGCATCTTGATACTGCATCTTGATGGTAGAGCCATTGTTGTCGTACGCCTGTCTTGCATGAAAATCGCTTCTTGAACACTGTGACTGTCCTCCATTGCCATGTACATGTCTTTCGTGACTTGTGGTTGTTCTTAATCGATAGAGAAAACGTCTTCGTCATGAACAGCGCGAAATGTTTGGTCACTGGATCTGCTGTAATGTTGCACGTACTGAAGTGGTGGTCTCTCATCGAATTTAGCCGATCTCGTGTGCGTCACCCTCTTGGCATCTTCGTCCCATATTTTAAGCCCCTTGATTTGGTCCAAGTAACCTAGAAAAATGCATCGAATCTCCTTTTTGGTCACCTTGGTTCTGTTTGACTTGTCGACATGTGCATTTGACTCAAAAACACACATCTCGGAGAGGTCAGGTTTCTTTCCGAAGATGAACTCAAATGGAGTTGTTGTCGGGTGACTGGCACATGGAACTCGGTTTGTCACTTAGAATGCTGTGTTCATCGCCTCAGCCCGCCAAATTTTATCCACTTGCATATAGCTGAGCATTGCTCTGTGCCGCTCTGTCAGTGTCCGGTTCACGCGTTCGGCCAGCCCATTCTGTTGTGGTGAATCGGGTACCGTCGTCTGATGCATGATACCATATTTTCGACATACACCAGAGAAACGTCTGTTGACGTATTCCGTCCCGTTGTCCGTCCTGATACACTTGATCTTCTTGGACAGTTGATTCTCCATAAGTGTCTTGTACTCTATAAGCGATCCGTCACTTCCGACTTGTTTTCAATATAGCATGCGACTATATCTCTCGAATAATCATTAATAAGGGTCACGACAAATCTTGATCCTCTTCGAGACTTCGATTCCATAGGTCTCATGACATCACTGTGGACCAACTGCAACACTTCCTTGGTTTTCACCTGTCCGTATGGTGACTTCGGAAACGTCTTGACGGTTGCTTTACCCATAATGTACCCTTCGCAAATCTCGATATCATCTTCAACGCCTTGATTATATTCTTGATCTTTGATCTTTAGTACATTGACGCAACCTGCCATACCCTTTAGCATCTTTGTGGACAGGTGACCTTATCTTGCATGCCATACTTGTAGATCGGCCGCTCCTGATCCGTCACCTAATTTTTGCTCTTGATTTGTCTGTTCGCAAACGTTGGCTACCTCAGCCGGACTGCACTTTAAGACGTACATCTTGTTTCGTCTTAGTATTTGGGCAACGACTTCTGTGTTACTTCTGATCTTACAGCTCAGATCTGAGAAGATCACTTGTAGACCCCTTTTTGACAATGCAGATATTAACAGTAGCCTTCGGTCTAGGCCCGGCATTTATAGCGTTTCTTCAATCCTGATCACTTCACCAGTCTTGAGTTGTACGCGCACTGTACTAACACCTTGCGCTTCCACTTCGCTACCGTCTGCTATGGTATCACAATCGGGTCCGCCAGCGAGTCTAAATTCTAGAACTCATTTCTGTCGGGACACATGTGGCTGCTTGCCCCACTGTCCAATAACCATCCAGATGACGTTCGACTTGACGCAGTAAATGCTCTCTTTTCTCCAGATCGCTCTGTCTCCACTTGTGCAGCCTTGCAATCTTGACGCTTGTGCCCATATTTTTTATGTCGGTAACACCTTCCCGAGAGCTCTTCACCTCTTGAATTTAATCTCCCCATATGTCTGCGCGGACCTTTCTTGTACTTGGAAGTGTGCGCACTTTTCAGTGCGACATTTTGGTGTTCTATCCTCGCCATTCCATCGTACTCTCGTCTCAGCATTTCCTTAGCGTGAAACAGTGTCATTCTGGGCATTTTCTCAATTATCTTGACAATGGGGTCATAGTCTCTCGTTAAACTACCCAATAGGATGACCAAGTGCTCATCATGTGAGATCTCTTGTCCCACAGCTTGCATATTCATACACAGCTCGTCAAATCTCAAAAAGTGATCCATAATGCTTCCTCGATTGGTCAACTTGAACTCATGCAGTTGCCGCCGCAACTGCACACGATTGTGCATACTTTGTCGCAGGAAGGAAGTCTTCAGTATGTCTCATGCTTCTGCCGTTGACTCCACCGTGCGCACCATTGACTGAAGATTTGTGCTGATCATTGTGGTCACAATCGCAAAGGCCTTCATGTCGTTGAATTTCCAAGTTGAAGCGCTTGAATCTACTTCTTCTGGGGCCCTCATAGCGTCTAGGTGCTCTAGCAATCCCTTCTTTGCCAGCCTCATCCTTGCGTTGAACTCTTACACGAAGAAGTTATCTTCGCGGAGTATATCACCCGCATCCGGCGTAGTTGGGCATATAATATTTTGACTTTTGGCAACAGCCAAGGGCGAGTTGAGGTGGGAGAGCTTAGAAGAAGGTAAAATGGAAATTGAATTATTAACTAGCTAGGTCCTTAATTCGTCTCGTTGTACTACTCTAAGCCTATCGATATCGACTCTATAATATTAGTAACAAAACGATGAGTCGATCCCATCGTTACACACGATCACACAGTGTCGTCCATGATATGTGGTCATTAGTATCAGTAACCAACACCATTACCAATACTCCCCCTCGACTAGAAGTCTCTAATTCTGGCTTTGTCCAGCAGCGACTCAAAAAAAATTAGTCGAAATCGGTTTGGTCAGAAAACTGCCA